CCCCAACGTTCTCCTACGGTCCAGGTTTGAACGCTCTAGCTCAACCATGCCTAAGATGACGACGTTCAGTTCAGTAAGTGGATAGAGACAGAGTTTCTAAGCACCTCCCAAAATCCAATTTCCTTCCGAAAATGTTTATAACGACCTTTTCGTTTCCGACAGATAGAACCATGATGGACATCTTCAACCTTGACAAAGTAATTACATAATGCGAAACCTTGAAATCCTATAAAGTCTTCATATTAGCTATCGAAAGATGGCCAATAGAAGAATTACAATCCTCCTGACCGACACCGGCTAAGGTACAATCCTCTTGGACCACAACCAGGAAACAATCCTCTAAAACCAAAAAGCTCAACGACGATTCCCACAAGTAACGTTGGAAATGTAGAGTGAATTGGGCTACGAATTCACATGTCACATGAGCTTCGGCACTTCTTCCACTTGTTTTGATGTTTTGCAGCCGTCATCCATGGGGATCTCTTTGCGGCGATGGCAAGTCCTGACATAGTTTTGCGCTTAGTTAGTACACCGAATGGACACTGGAAACATGGCTATAATTTGGATGTTACATCTGGCGATAAATTCCTTTATTATCTCAGTCTGGAACCTAAAAGCAACCAATGAAGGCATATTCGCAAACCACTCCAGAGGAATTTTCATGGAATGATGCTCAAATTTTAAAAACCCGAGAGAATCGATGAGGAAGCAAACATACGCATGCTAGCCCAATAGAACAAAATTTCAAAAGGAAATCTTCTGGACAGTTCGATAAAACTGTGTTGATATCTTTGAGCTCGGAAAAGCAAACGTAGTGTAAAGTAGCAGCAATGGGGATTTTAATAGAACGTGGCATGCTCCAATGATAAAATGCACTCCAAATCGAATAGAGAAGCTCGATACCCTTTGACGTAGCGGCGCTTCCATGTTTTGTCTATAGAGGTATCTCGTTTTCATTTCTTCTTATAAAGCCGTTTATATCAATGTTTTGAGAGTTCTAGTGCGAATCAATTGGACTTATTAGTTAAAAACCTAACCCTAGAGTCTTATTAGTTAAAAACCTAACCCTAGAGTAGTGCGCTAGCAGTAGAGGTTATCTTAGCGGTTTACTTCGATAGCCGTTTACTGAAATTTACTGCTGACAAATTTTTCTTCTACCATTTGTTGATATAAGAGGTTACCACGCCGCTGCAACAGTAAACAGTCAGATAAGTGTTTTTTGTCCTTCCCCAAGGGGTGAGGTTCCGTTGCTTGTCTCGTCGTGTACCATTCAGTCCTGCATAGAGGGCTTCCCATTTCATGAAATGGGAGGATGTTCTCCATGGTCCTTAATTGTGAAGTGGTAATAAGATTCTCATAAAGTATACATGAATTTTAGAATTAATATGAGCAGATAACCGTGCACTCTGATGGGGTTATTTTTATCGCACGGATCTTTTGCTAAATTCTCTGGTCTGACTAGTTTATTAATATGCAGGTATTTCTAGCATAGCTAGGTAGTATCATCAGGAATTCACATTCACGCTGTGGTTCTACTACATGTTGATGAAGTACCCAAGTCCCGGCTAGGGATAGGCAGCGCACGGAAGGAGAGCTCTGTCGCGCTTGATTCATCTCAAAGTTTCAGTAAGCTAGGTGGACGTGGATGTCTCCTCTTGAACGTTATGAAGTCATGCACTTGTTTTTTACCATGCAGCTGCTTTTTGGGCTTATCATCTACGTTTTCTTACAGCTTCATGTACCTCAGCAGCTGAGTCAATAAGCTGAGGTTTTTTCATCCGACAGCTGTATTCACACTGCTAGAGTGGAGTACACCGTCGCTAGACCGAAGATTCAGCTTTTTCTGCCCCGACATGGACTCAGGTGTTCATATATTGAAGTCTACTTGCAGCAGACGCTGAGTTTTCGCTCAGTTAAATTTTTTGCCATATTCGTTGTTGTATTTCAGCCCACAGTTTGTACTGTTGAGCATCAAACGATCGAATTCTTGTGATTTGAAAGGACAAACAGACACTGCTCACATAAGTATGGACGATGATTGAGTGACACTTCTTAGAAGTCGTACTATCACAGCCGTTGCTTTGTACAATTTACTGGATACTGGATATTTTACTGGATACTTTGCCGGATATATTTTATATGTCATCTGGTTATGCCTTCTCTGTTTACACCACTCATGGACGATTAGTAACTTAAGGTAAAGTCTATGTACAAGTATTTTATAAACAGACTGTCTATTAACCTCAACATTGTTCAGTGAGGTATTCTCCTTGAGCAGATACGATGATGTTAATAACAAGGTTCATGCATTACAGTACTGCCGCACGTTTCGGCGGATTTCGCATTCTTCTAATCTTGGAAACGTCGCGTTAGTTACAACCTGCCCACCCAGATTCCTTTATGACCGCAACGGGAAGGCCAGGAGACCTAAATTTTAGTCATATTGAAATCGAAACATCTTCTTCACACACACCGTTTTCTGTGAGTCTTATACTAAACTGCAAGGAGAAATGCCTCGCTTTCAAGCTAGATCTCACACAATATCTCAGGCTGATGTTTTTGTGGTGCTCAGTCCATCCATTTGAACCCTTTGATGTTGGTCTTCACGTGGGATACTCAGCTGAAAAATTATAGAAAACGTTATGTGTGGAGAACCTACGTTATTTGTTTCTAAACGCCACCGTATGGAGTGAGAGTCCACTAAGAGGTGGATGATAACCTCATTTTTTAAACATCGGGCAGGCTAGTATTGCTAAAGTACTTTCATTTTTGCACTGGTTTGAATTTTCTGGAATGGAAGTCTCTTCGCGTTTCTCTATAGCATTAAGCTTTTGGAATTTCCCACTGCCAACGGGGATTCAGTACTTCTTCGTACGTCTTTCACCTTTTTTTTGCCCTGATCGGCGTGCGAAAATTGAGGCTTTGCATGTGTTTCCTGCACTTAATCGTTTCCAAATTTCTCTATTTGTCTCGCATTTTGTGCTGACAATAGTTCTTTATGGCTTTCTTAGAGACTAAGTCCTGCACGGCACCGAAAGTTTAGAACACTTAACAAAAATCTAGTGGTGAGGAGCATTTTGATGTAGCTACGCAGTCAGGTGCAGTTTTTGAGATGAGATCTCAGGAAGAAATAGACTCGAGGCTTTGTTTTTCTTTCCAGGGAAGTTCGTAAATAGCAATAATACGTCTACTTTTGTATCAAAATTATTTTCTGTTGTTCGTATTATGTTGTGTTTTCTGGCAGGATTACTGTGTCCAGGAAGTGCTCAACCCTAATAGAAATGATGAGCCGTTGGGTAAAGTAAATAGGAAATTTAGACACTTGGCAGGCTGTATAGAAGCTCCTACACGTAACGAGATAAGGATCCTTGTCTCAAATTTTTTTTAGCGCTGAATGCCCTACTTATGGTGGCGAATTCTAAGTTGTTAAAAGCTCTAAAAGTTCTCGGCATTAATTTATCCCTGAGGGATGCGCCGTGTATTCAACTTCATTAAAGCATGGTTGGAGGTGACTGAATGCATATCTGGCCTTTACAATGACTCGCTGTGGCCTACCGATCTATGGAGCCAATGATACTATCCTCACAAAGCAGTCTGGTGCGAATTTTCTGACTCCGGAGGGAAGGAGAACTTGCTTGGTCTGCGGCGCTGGGATCGATCCCATGTGTGTTTCAGATCATCTCCGACCACTGCGCTACACGCGCCCCATTAAGTTGTTAGGAGGAAAGAAACTGGGATAGTGACGAAATCAGCTGGTAAGTTTGTTATAGGACTGATCTCAGTGAATGTTGATTTCGTGGACACGTGTTACGAATGGTCAGCGTTTCTTCTAACTCGTGTATAGCTGTCCAGTCAGCATTTCTGTCGAAATAGTTCTAGTATATGCAAGGATTTTTAGTCAAGGTATGGTCACTCTTACATACTGGATTAGTAGACCTGCTTTTGTTAGCATCACTTTGAGAAGAGTTGTTTTACACATAAATTTGTAATTATGTACATTTACGTTGACTGGTTCTGTCTCTTGTGGGCTACTTTTCGACGCGGGCTTTTTAATCTGCGTCATTACACTAATAATTCTGTAAGCGTACTTATTCACTAAGTGAGGAACCGAACTGATTTAGCGCGGTCCGATTATTGCAATTTGATGGCTTAGTTTTTAGCATCTTGATTGACATCCTGGTTTCATGTTTACTTGCGAACAAGAACATCTGATTTGGGTTAATCACCTTAAATGGAAGTTTTATGGTTAGTACTTTACCCTTAACGATGCGACAATAACGTAATAGATTTAACGATCAGAACTTAAAGCGTATGCCAGTGTTGAGGGCTTTGTTTTCACTGCACGTATTTTTATCACTATCCACCCAGAGCTTATATTTTCATCCTATTCCTTCATTTTCTGATTAACTGATGAGGAGACTATCATGTTAGTGTCCATATTTGGTGGTCTAACTTTAGTCCAGGCTATCATAAATGGCTTCTCCATTAAGGTGTCTCATGTATCGCTCAGTACGTTCCATGTCACATATTGATGGGAACTTCTTATTTACAACAAAGTTGTTCGACAGCCATTCTTTTTAGTACTTTTCAACTGTTGAGAACTCGAACAGCTTTCTCTACCAAGAAGGTACTCGTTAACTAGAAGCCCTCTGCACCTTATTTTAATGTATAACGCCGTTGGTTGTGTTGTGTGTTGTCAACTGTTGGTGTGTTTTGGCTTAGGCTTAGCTTAGGTTCTAAATGTAAGTTGTCATGATATAACGTCTTTATGCAAATTGTTAGGAACTCATCACACTTCGCCATGTTGTTCACTCGTCTTCCGTTGTATCTGGGAGTTCGGTCTGTTCGCTTGCAGACAGTTGCGTGTCGGATACGTTAGTTTTGCGAGTGCAAATAAGTATCCATGGTTTGTAGGCAAGAAGCGCCCCCCTCCCCCTCTCAAGGAAGCGTTTTCGGACCAGCACATCAGCTGTGCTGTCTTGGTGCATCCTTCTCGTGGGATGCGCACTGCTATTCCTATTTTCCTAACAATTCTGCTCATCGTCCGTGCTGAACTGGGTGTTGGAGAAGGCGCTACTTCAGTTCATCCTACGCCTCCGGTACGTTGCTTATACCTTTGGATTTTACGGTCTACTTGAATACCTGAATGAGCTGACTTCATTAGGTTCATGCTGACACTAGAGCATTAGTAGTCTAACTAGTACGTTGACATTTTGGGGTCCAGATTCCCATCATTCGAGCTCTCGGCGCTCGTGGATATCATCGAAGCCAACAAATAGTTCCCTTTTTTTTGGGAGGGGGGGGGGGGGGCATGAATTCCCCACTACGTGCGGGCTTAGTGCTGTTCACAACAAAATGTGGAGCAAAGTGTTTGTACTTTAACCAAATGAGACACTTTATAATAGATGGTTTTGGAAGGGAACTGGAGTAGTACTTAAGTTCTGCAATAAAAATGGTGAAATGTTGGGTTAAAATCTTAGAGGCAAACCCTTGGTCGACTTCGTTCGTAATAGGGTCTGAAATTTCCTTGTGAACATTGTTCTGTTGCCGTCCTAGGCGCCTGTCATTCTGTATTTTTTGGTCTCTGGGTTAAACAATGTTGCTTGGAGACTATCAGCCATGGATGTACGAGTTTTCATGTGCTTGCTCTCTTTAGCGTTCGAATTCACTATTTTGAGGACCACACTACTTAGTTAACACATTACTGTTAAAAGAATGCGTTGACTAAGTAGTGTGGTCAACCTGAGCCGAAATAGGCCTAACAATCACTATTTTGAGTCTTTAGAACTGGCAAATACTGAGAGTAAAACGCATTTTAAACGTTTTAATTCACAAGGATCAATTTCCATTGGATTTAGACCCAATTTTTCTTCACTTGTTTCTTCACTGGTCCTTTTCATTACCCATGGCTAACACCAGTCTTTATTTCTCGTTAGTGATCTTAACTTAGCCTTGGTTTTTTTCCAATTTATGTTGATATTTCGACGTTCTGCGAGTTCCATTTCTCCTGTATTTCTGGCATTTGCTGCCAATTCCTTTGAGTTGGAAGCGAACTTGTCTAGCACATAGTCACATAGAGTATTTTCTTCTTTTTCCTTATTTTAGGCGTTTGATGCTGCTCGTTCATTTAATGTTATCACTCTCGAGAAAGAGGCACTCATCTCTGGAACAAGAGTGGAGAACACTGAAGGGGAAGAAAACGCATTACTAGGATACACGTGGGAGCTTATTACACTTTTGTTATTATCGTTGAAGTTTATGAAATTGCAAGGTGGTTTTTAATATGCCATGACTGCGATTGTTTAGGGATGAAGAAGCATTTTTCTCCTCACTCTTTATTTCTGTGTCTGTTTTTTTTTAATTTGAGCATCCTATGTTTTTGCAGAGTGTCTAACTACTTCCTGCTCGTGCAGCTTGAGCTTAGAAATAGAAATGAGATGTTTCACACACCACATAAACCCTTCATTCTAATGTGGTTTACAGAAGCCGTGGTGTAAGTATCGTTCTTCCTGACCATCTTGTGCGAGTTGTGCTATTTGGATTCTGGCTAGATGAATTGCAAACGGTGCGGCTTCCATGTACTCTATTCCCTTCTACTGCTTTTGGGCTTTCTACATATACAACTTATGCCAGCATCCAGTTCTGACTTATAGCTTGCGTCAAGCTAGTAAAATCTCATAATTGTTCAGGTTTCATTCTCGGCCTCAGATAATTGCTCTGCGACGTCGTTGGTGTTCGAGCAAGTTGATTTCATCATTCAAACGGATAAGCGTGTAGTCGTTACTACACGTTTTCCCGAGTACGTTGATTTCCTCTCATTGCTGTTTTGAATTCGGGCAGATGAGCACGCCATACTATCCATTTATTACTTCCAACGGAAGTCTTGGAAGAATAACTATTTAGAAATTGAACATAGTAACTTTAATGTCTCGTATTCACATGGCTCATCGATTTCGGCTTGTGTATATCAAGAATAATACACATTTAAGGTGTTTAATTTGCTAGCAAATTAGTTGGCTAGTAGACCCTATTCGTCAGCAGCATTAGAAATATTAAAAAGGCATACTTGGTTTTCTTTCATGGCTACTCTCTAAAGAGTGCACAGCTTTGTTTTGGTAGCGGCTTTTCTTCGGGTTTGAACTTTGTTCGTGCGCGGAACAACGCTGCTACAACGATCATCATTGGATGTTTATAAGGACCAATCTTACATGGTTCAGTAAGATGTGGGTCGCCAAACTGTTTACTGCCGCTTTCCTCTTCCTTCTTTTTTTAAAATATACATGTCTATGGTTCCCAACGGTTTACCGCCTCATCGTGGCTGGGAGGTGTTCCTGAGTGTCGGACTGCGATGTACAGCGGACATTCATCCTTTGGCAGGGTCTCCCAAACTGAGAAAGAGTCCGGTGTTTCCATCAGGAAGTCTAGCTAAGAGTAAACCAATACCAAGATCCACTACCATCCCGGTACCAAAGTCGCGTAGTGGTAAATCTCTCTCTGATCCACAAGGGCTGCGATTGTCTGTGGTGGTGAACGTCTGAGGCGCACTTTGGCCAGGGTGACCTCGGGATTCCAGGGAACCACAATGGCTTAACCAGCAAATCTCCGAAAAATGGGGATTATGTTGCGTTCCGCAGAACCAGTGAGGGCGGGTCATTCAAGTATCAAGTGAGTAGTATGTATATGCACGTATATGTATATATATAAATATATGTATGTGTATATATGCACGCACATGTACATATGTGTATATATATGTATATATATATATACATATATATATATATATATATATATATATATACACAATCGCAATCTTCCTAACGGCTTACCGCTTCATTTGTGGCAGGGAGATGTTCCTGTGTATCGGGTTACGATATAGAGCGAGAGGATTCGTCCCTCCAGCAGGGTCTCCCAAGCTGGGAAGGAGTCCGACGTTACCATCAGGAAGCCCAGCTAAGAGTAAACTAGTACAGTGATCCACCACCATACAGGCATTAAACTATTCTCATGGTGACAAATCTCCCTCTGATCCACATGAGCAGCAATTGCCTTTGGTGGTGTCAACTTCGGGTAGGCTCTAGCATAAATGACCTCGTGGCTGCAGAGAACCACAGTGGCTAAGCCAAAAAAAACTCCGAAAAGTGGAACTTACGCTGAAGCGCGCACACCCAGTGAAGGAGGGCCATCCACTTGTCCAAGTAAGTATAATCATAACAATTTGTGATTGATGGACATAGTGGTTACTTTCCAATAAAGAAGAAGAGTAGATAAGCCATGCTGCATCTTCCTAATAGTTTCAGTTAACTTGCTTTCCAATCTTCTGACTTTTTAGGACTCCTGCAGGTGAATTTTATCGTTTGTGTATTAAATCACGACCTAAATACAAACATCTTCAAGCGGAGTATTTGCAGGTGTGTTTTATAAAAGTGTAAGCTTGCAAGGAAATATCGTCTCAGTACCGTTGCCAGTTGTTCCTTTGTTGTGCAAATTCTCCTATGCCATACGCCAGATAGACTTTAGATCAGTCTTATCTATATTTTCCTCAGTGGACGTTTCCGCAAACAAAGAACAAGGTTGAACGAATGTTCGCTTCTGTTTTTGTGGCTCACCAAATGGCAGCGGTGTCGTTGGCAACATTTGTTTTGTACCGTAATTTTGATTACACTTTAGTTTAAGACATTTTCCAGTCAGTGTTTATTGCTTCGTTATATCAAAGCACGTGAGCGCAGTTTTGGTTCGTTCACACTTAAATGTGTGTTCTAAGATCGCAATTCATAATTTTGCTAGATCCGAAAATTAGTGTATTTAAAAATTTTTATATGAAGAACAATTGGTAGTGCAAACGAAGATTAGGTTTATTGAAAATAGGGTGTTAGTTTAAGTCGCATCCATCTAACATATGGTCATGGTATCGAAATAAAATGTACGTCACTTTTTAAACTTTGTATTATTATAAAAAGCACAAAAGTACCTTTTTTAATGCATAATGTGAGAGTATTAGCGCAAATGTATTGATAGGGAATAGATGTCGCAAACTCTAGTTTCATACACCGTGTTTCATTCATGAGCTAACACGAGGTTGTTATTAAATATTTATGCGGCTAACGTTTTGACATCTTCGTCTTTCTCAGAGCCGATGATCCGAGTGGATGTCCACAGTTGTCCTTTCTCTCGACGAGGTCAATTCCATATCTGAATTAATATTTTGTAAATATCTTTACCCTCCCAACGGTTTACCGCCCCATCGTGGCTTGGAGGTGTTCCTGGATGTCGGACTGCGATGCAGAGGGGATTCATTTCCGCGACAGAGCCTCCCAAGCTGAGAAGGACTTGGGCGTTTCCGTCATGAAGCCTAGCTAAGAGTACACTAATGCCAGGATCGACCAACGTCCTAGTATAAAAGTGGTCGAGTGGTGGCAAATCTGACCCTGATCCACAAGGGCGGTGAGTGCCTGTGGTAGTGACGACCTAGTGCAGACTTTAGCTAGGCTGACCTCAGGACTTTAGGGAACCACTGTGGCTAAACCAGCAAAACTCCGAAAAGGTGAAAACTATGCTAGAGCCCGCACAATCAGTGAGGATGAGGCATCCAAAGATCCAATTAAGTGAGCAAGTAAATATCGTCGCAGAGACTGAAACGAACATGACATTTGTGGAAACTTGGTGCAGTATTTCAATAAACGTCGTAATTTTGTTTAATGATTATTGACAGTGATATTGTGAGGGTTTGAAAAACAACCCTTTATTTGTCATTCATAAATATTACCTTGTTACCAAATTGGCATTCGTTCTGTCGTTCTTTTCCATCTTTTTTTATTCAAAATTTTATTTCTGTCAATTTAATGTACCTCACTGAAGCACAGATTTCGCTGTGCATTTCTGATGTTTTTTTTGAACTGAGTTTAATTCATATTGAATTTAGCATTTTGGAGTAAGATTGAGAATAGAAGAATTCAAACATTTTTCCATGGGAATGCAAAATTGCAGGAAAAACGAGGAAGGAAACTGACAATTTTAAGTTTGCGTTTAGATCTTGAACTACTAACACCAATATAAAGTCACTTTGAATGAAGATGGGTTCTGTGCGATTAGTGACGTTCTGCGCGAGCTAGAATGGACAATAGAATGAAGCACTGATCATTACCCAAAATTGAATTTCTGTTAGAAGAATGTTACAGTGGATTTTTTGTGCTTAGTAGAGACGAAACATCCAGTGGACCATCTTGAATTCTATTAAAATGACTAAAGCAGAGAACAGTCGTCATGAATTTGAAGAAACGCACCGAGAACTCCAACGCCTTCGACCGGCATCGTCTAATGTTATGATGTTTCATAACACCCGACGACAAGCCGTATATCCAAGATTGAAAAGATTGACTTAAAAGATTGGGATACAAATCCGCTTATTCTTGGGCTTCTAATTAAGCAAGTGTTATTTTTGAAGCATCTCGAGAACTCACTGAGAAAGTGCTCAAGAAGTAAGACGCTGTTGGAAAATCTCTGAGGAGGTTTATTCACTTTATAAAGAGACGGTTTCTACAATTATTGAATACATGGTTGCATTAATTAAGTGTGACATTACATTAATTATACGTATTTTAATTCGAACCTAGCAGAGCATCTGGATTTTTGAGGCAATCTGATAGGTAGAGCGTAATTCATTAGGAGATTTACAATAATCACGGGTTTATTTTACAGTCTGCTTCATGTCATGTTATAGCATGAGAGTTTTTTAGATTTCGGAATTTCGAACCAGAATTTCAACAGAAGTTCCTCCACGCCAGTATTATTTTGCTTTATGGATCCAAGTAGGTATAACCTTTCATGTCGTCTTTTCATTAGTTTGTAAGCTTTTAATCGCTGCTTGTGATTAATCTTCACTTCATTTAGATTGGAATTATATCATTTCTTCTCGTACTGTCTGGTCTTTTTTCTGGTCTCAACTTAGGATTAATGTCACTCACGCCACAGGAATTAATGCTCATTCAGAAGTCAGGTAAGTCGTTCGTTGGGCGTGTGATTAAATCTTTACCAGTGTTTAGCTCCCTAGGTATAACTCTGTCGCCGTTAATATCTCTTAAGTTGTTTATTGCTGCAAAGCTGTTTCGTTTATTTCAACCACCCATTTTAGTAGTCTTTTAATGAGCTTGATTCATAAGACTGCTTCATGGGCGTTTCAATAAATGATTTTCCTTCTGATTTAATTGCGTCTTATCTGGTATGGAACTGTTTTGACGAGATAATGCTGCCTTGTCGGATCCTTTTTCTTACAGAAATGTCAAAGGGTTTGTGGAAAAGTATTTTCATGGTGCACCTACGGTAATAGTCAGCTGAATTTCTTATATAGGACGGGTTCGCGTTGTCGAAAGGCGCTCATAGGGAGGGTTTCATTCGTTTCGAAACTGTTGAGCGCTTTTTCGTATCCTACAAGAAGCAGGTGTATTTTGCACAAGGATTCTTGGTACACCTTAAACGTGGTCCGTGCAACAGAATCATCGGGATCCTGCTCCATATGTGTTTGAACTTAGTGCGGAGTTCTTGTTACAAGCGATGGCATATTTTACGTAAGGATGCGTATTGACCTTCTGGAACAAATCAGAAAGCAACCCATCTCATCTATCGGTCTGTGACGATTTCCTTCCTAGGGCAAGTTATTATATGGATTGAGAGAAGGGCATTTAGTTTCTGGTTTACAGCTCAAAGAAGTTACCTATTATATTGTTAGCTGGCCATTGAGCTGTGTCCCTCTTCTTGCTTTCGATCTAAACTCGAACTTCAATTTAAAGCATTCGAAGTACTTTTCCTCCTGAGGGCATTTTGCCTTTTGGATCGGGGTCTGCCAGACGGACAATGTTGATGTAGAACTTCTCCGTTGTCAGCTCATATCATGGCGAGCAATGATGATGAATTTCATCTCCACGCTTTGCTTTCCTTCTGTGGAACTCCTCTTGTAATCAAAGATGTTTTGCAAGTACTGCAAATAACATTTACTATTGGCCATATTAGTTGTATTCTGTGGCATTCATAAACCATGAAAGTCTTGCAATAAGTTTTTCATTATGGCAAATATTTCGTTTTCCTCGTGATCGTAGGAGACGCAATGGTTCGACTCGAGTATCCACCATTGTTGCTTCTTACGATATCTGTCTTCGTAATCGCATCAACTCGAAACCACTTTTTCCTGTTTTATCTTGAACTCTTCGACAATAAAAATGTAGAAAGACTCATCGTTGTTGATATCAATGTTTTGCAAGTGACAGCTGGAGATACAGATTATTTGATTTGGAACGTTGGAGAGCTTATGAATGCAGAAATTTTATGGAAAGGCGATTTCTACGGTTTTAGTGGATTAGTTTAATTTGAAGCGACGTATAAGGCCAAACTTAGATTTCGAAGTATAGGAATGTAGTGTAGGGCTACCGCTTGGCGACCATTCAGAAACTGAGTACTTGTCCAAATCAACAAGCGATTTATAATCCACATTTCTATGGACACACACTCGTGTGTATGATCACGATTACATGTACACAGAAGGTACAATTCACTCTTGTACGAATACAGGAAGTCAATTTCGTTCGTTCGCAATATATATATATGCATATATATATATATATATATATATATATATATATATATATATATATANCACTGTGTTTCCTAGCAACGGTCACGGCATCAATGCTGAAATCTGACAAAAACGGCCCATATATATATATATATATATATATATATATATATATATATGGGCCGTTTTTGTCAGATTTCAGCATTGATGCCGTGACCGTTGCTAGGAAACACAGTGCATAATTCTTTATATTTTTGTTCAGTAAGCACGAGGTGTTATTTTACTTCATTATTTACGAGCAAGCTGACGTTTCGGCGTATTTCGCCTTCCTGAGGCACGTGTCAGCTTGACCTTTCCGGCCTCTGAGGAAGGCGAAATACGCCGGAACGTTAGCTTGCTTGTAAATAAAGAAGTAAAATAACACCTCGTGTTTACTCAACAAAAATATAAAAAATTGTTTGATCAATGCCGCGGTTAATGGAAAGTCGGTCGTGGGAATTAATGCAGTGCGTAATCTCGCGACTAATCTCTTATTGAGAGGTCTATATTGGTGCTTTCAAACTCCTTTTATTCGTTGAGCAATTTTGTTCATTTAATAGTTATTATCTGAACACGTTCAGGATCCAAGAACGAACGTCAATATGCTGAAGTTATTTTACCCGTTCGAGCAAGGGGAAATCTCTTACTTTGTTCACTTCTTATTGGTATGTTCATCTGTTCCATGTTTTGCTTTTCTTCATAGTATCATTTCATTTTTCTATTAAATTTGGAGTCTTGACGATGTATAGAGGGGTTTACTGGTGGTAAGGGCGGAGTTCCAGGACGCAATATCAGGTAGTCCTCACAATGGTTTACTGCCTCATCGCGACTGGGAGGTGTTTCTGGGTGTCGGACCGCTATGTACAGCGGGAGGATTCGTCCACCCCAGCAGGATCTCCCAAGCCGAGGTGTCCGGCGTTTCCATCAGGAAGCCTAGCGAAGAGTAAACCAATACCACGATCCACCACCGTCTTGGTATCAAGATCGTATTGTGGTAAACCTCTCTCTGGTCCACAAGGGCTGCGATTGCTTGTCGAGGTGGCGACCTGGGGCAGACTTTGGCCAGACTACCCTCGAGATTCCAGGGAATCACAATGGCTTAACCAGCAAATCTCTGAAAAATGGTGTTTATGCTGGGGCACGCACAACTAGTGAGGGCGGGCCGTTCAAGTATCAAGTAAATAATATCAGTTAGCGCAAATGAAAGGTAGGCCACTGCGGTCCCAACATCTACTCTGGGAAAACTCTACGCTGAAGAACATCGTTTCTGAAACATAGGCATAGGAGGTATAAGCTTTTCAAACCAAGATGGATGCATATTTTATGGTCGTACATGTGCGATATCTAGGTCTAGACTTTGAGTGGTAGGTGACGTTGATTTCAGAATTTTTTTTCTTGGTGCCACGAAACGTTCAAATATTGCAACGTGTGATGATATTCAATTTAGGTAATGTTTGTGTCAATTCGGGTATCTCTATTCTCTTGGATGACCTCACTTCTGGGTATGTAGCCCTTATAGCTTCTTCAGCCGGCATTGTCGTGTTTGGGGAAATATTTCCGCAAAGTCTTTGCGTCAAGTATGTCACTTTCTTCTTTATATTGCTTGTATTATCTGCGTGCTATTTACAATATTGATTGCTTATTAAATTAGTACAATGTACTTGGTATATTCGTTAATCTCGTATTTTTCTTGACCTATACTTCTCAATGCTACTCACTTATCGATTTCTTTTTATTTGAACGAGTTAGATTGGAAACTTTTGAACCTCACTTCGAAATAAAAATGTTTTTAAAACATCAGAAAAAAAGAAACTATTAATTCGCTCGAAGGACCCGTGTAGCGTATTGGTCGAAGGCGCCATTCGATGCACATAGGATCGATCCTTCACCGGTGGTCTACCATACCTTCCATTCCTCCGGTGTAGGCAGATTGGTACCAGCCTTGTTTAGGAGGGTAGCATTGACTTGGTGATATAGCTGGAAGCTGCTGCGAGTCATTGCAAAGGCTAGATATGCATTCGATAACCTCTAACGATGCGTAATGAAGTCGAATGCATGGCGCATCCCTCAGGGATTGATTAACACCGAGAGCTTTATCTTTTATCCTTTTTACCTCGCTCAAAATCCATGCATGAGCCTCTGTTACTATCAGTTATGCAGGTAATAAAAATCGCTTCCATTGTAGCGCGTCGGTAGCCATAACTCTTTCCCATGATGAGCGCTTTATTTCAATTTCCCAGTATTTTTGGCAAATTTTTGTTCCAAATTAGAATTTTCTAAGTGGAAGGGAAATAAACTGGAGTTAGTAATGTTGGTTTTATATTATCGACGAAATGGTGTTCACTAATGCTGACCTTGACTGGAGTAAGAGAAAAGTATGATGTAAATTCCAGGGGATTTTAAAACTTTGTTTGAAAAGACTTTTTTAATTTCTTTCTGACTTTGAATGCTTATTTCAATGACTGCATTCTTTAGAAGAATTAAGAGGTGTATGGCAATTTCATTCTATATGTGTCAAGTTCTCAGGTTCGCAAATTACGTATACGTAGTTATCTAAAGATATCTATTGTTGTTAAAAAGCCAGCTTTCTGGCAAAGGTGTTAGAAAGTTCTGAAGATTTAAGTTATATTCAACAATGGACTAGATGTGGTACAAGCACAGTTTTTGTGATATTCTCGAAAAAATTAATAAGTGAAGTAAGTCTTTAGCTAGTAAGGCGAAAACCATGTGAAGAAAGAATTGATGTTATGGTATTAGCATAAGTTTATTTCAATAGTCTTTTTTTTTCTTGTTATCTGTTTTTCAACGTTTGCTTCAGTGACCGATATTTTTATTCATGTCTAGTCCAGTTTCCTTTTAGGAAAGGTCTTGCTGTTGGGGCGTATACTATTTGGGTTACACGTTTCTTTATGATTGCTACATTTCCCATAGCATACCCCATATCAAAGGTCAGTACTTTTTGTTTTTTATTTTTATTTTTGACGTCCTAGTAGTTGTTCGACTTCTTTACTTGAATGCTTGGATACTTCGATGGCCCACTTTCACGAATTTTTCGGGTTAGATCACATTCGTCATGCATTTTTCCGCAATGTAATCGTCCGTAATAATCTCTTTCGATAATGCTGAAGACTCGTTGTCAATCTATGGTCGTTGATTTCTGACTGGGTCGCGTGTGGCACAGTGGTCGGAGGCGCCTTGCAATATACATGGGATCGATTCCTTCACCCTGGCCCACCAAGTCTTCCATTTGTCTGAGGTCAGCAAACTGGTACCAGACTTGTCTGGGAGGATACCAGCACTGGCTTGATACATTGGTAGGCCACCGCGAGTCATTCATTCATTCATTTCATTCTAAAGGCCAGATATGCATTCATTCATCTCCAAAGGGCGCTTAATAAAGTCGAACGCATGGCACACGGGTTTGATTAACGCCGAGAGTTTTATCCTTTTTATAGCTTGGTTGTAAGCTCTAAATATACCTTCTTATGAATGTTCACCATGAGTAATGCTTCTATACTATTGTGGTCCCTCCTATCGTTCTTTCCATTCACTTGTCAACTACTGTAGTTTTATGAGTGACCCATCTGTTTTCCCTTCCACTTATGTTTTACGGAAGTGGGATCCTTTCATTTATGTGCAGCATCTTCACTTCCGATGTCATTCATAATCGACCTAATCTCTGCTCGCCACGTTTCGAATGAAACAATCTCATATCGCTTTTAGATTTTGGACTTCGTGCTTGGTGAGGAAGTCGTATCCTATGACCGTAAACGTCTCATGGAGCTGATCAAAATGAGTAGTGAGGAGGGTCTGGTTGAAGAGCTAAAGATAGCTGTTGGTGCAATGGAAATAAGTGATAAAACGGTCGCCGATGTTATGACTCGTATTGATGTAGGTTACAAAATGTATCTGTTTTTTCATAATATATGTGATTTTTACAAACTCTTCAATTTCGTTACGAGAATCACTCATTTCCGTCTCATCTTTCGAACCTTAGCATTTTATTTCACAGTTTTCCGCTTTTTAAAGTTAGTATGTTCATTCTTATTCTGAACCCTATCCATTTGATATTTTATGTAAAATACCTTATGGGGTCATCATGTATGTGACCTCTACCTGTTAAAATACCTTATTAGTGGTTACAATTTTATGTGAAATGCCTTAAAGGGGGCGGAGAGCACAGTGGTAGTGATGCCGGTCATCACGAGCATGGTGCTAGTTCGATCCCGCTCCCAGCCAACCAACCCTCTCATCCCTCCGGGGTCGGGGAATTGATATCAGGCTTGTCCGGGAAAAATCACTCTCTTCAATGGAAGTGGAAACACTCTATGACGGTTATCTGAGGACTACAGGGAGAATAGACTCAACCAGCATTCTACTCAAACATTAGCCAAAGCCACACAGAAAAGTTGAAAAATATTCGTGGATGCAGGCGCTGGGTTCTGCGCAGTAGACTTGAAGACTGGTCATACAAAATAAAATAAAGAAATTTTAATGACGCTCTTATGGTTCTGGACACGGTTTCTGTGCTTAGAAAGATTTAGTAATCGATTATTCCCACGTCTTTATTTCCTTCTTAATTTTTGCAGGATGTGTTCATGCTCCCAAATACCACCGTTCTAAATACTAAAACTGTTGCCGAAATTCTTCGTATGGGATATACTCGTATACCAGTATTTTGTGGTAGGTTGTTGGAAATTGCTTAGCCTATAAAAATTCTTTTCGAGATAAGGATGTTATTTTTTTCTATCAGGTCTGTCTGTAGTAGTTTAGGTGATCGAAACAATGTGATGTCACTATTGTTTGTCAAGGATCTTGCGCTGTTAGATCCAGACGACAACTTCACTATACAGACAGTTTGTGGTTATCACCAGCACCCTCTACGTTTTGTAATGGAAGACACACCACTGCGTGTTATGTTAGAAGAATTTAAGAAGGTCAAGCGTCATTGAGTCCTCTGACTGTGCCTACGAATCATCATTATATCTTATTTTTCTATTAATTGTTTGATTTTGCTTTCAGGGTGATTATCATCTAGCTATGGTTCAACGCATTGTTTCTGCCGAGGATAGTGATCCATCCTACGAACTTGTAGGTGTTGTCACCCTCGAGGATATCGTGGAAGAAATTCTCCAAGTTGGTTCACGTTAAGAAATTATCTCCTTTTAACATCCTTTTTCCCAACGTATGTAGAAGCTGTATGTATGTGCTTCATATAAAGGATTCATTGTCGGTTACTTGTGATTGCACATCTTTCCAAATGTTAGATATGGAGTAAACTTGTGCCAAAAGTGAGCACATGTGTGCCCAGACACTCAGTTGAACTAAAACGATGGCTTCCTTATATTGTGTTTCATGTTGCATATAGAATAGGGTGGAAGTCTGCAAGATAGCGGACTATGATGTCCTTTATAAGCTTCATATCTACCCCGGACTGCGCGAAAATCTATATTTAGACCACCTCTTGTGAAAGGTGAAGAGAAAAAAAGCGCTCCTTAGAAAAATTACGATGTTTCTTGCCCTGCTATTTAGATGAATAAAGAGCCGTGAATTATGGGAGGGATTATAGGTGATATGAGAGTCTTGAAAATTTATGGACCAATACGCATGTGTCTGTTGAAAATCTAAGCCTGTTAAAATGTTAATGATAAAGAGAGGATTGTTCTTGGTGGTTTTTTATTACGACCTTTTCAGGGTAATCCTCTCATTATCACATTAATAGTTGTTCACACTCATAGTTTCGTGTTCAAGCGTTGCTTTTAATATACATTTCTAGGCTGAAATTGTAGATGAGACAGATACTGTCATGGATAATGTGAATAGAACAAGAAGGCGTGGTGCACAGGTAATGTTTCTGTAGTTCTTCGATTGGTTGTATTCGTAGTCGTTTTTTTCCTTATTTGTAATCTCTATCGAGTGTCCACATATTGTAGATGTTTTTCAATCAAATACATATTGTTTTAATTGTAGGTGTATTTTTATTTATTTTATTTCACATCCCTCCCAACGATTTACCGCCTCATTGTGGCTGGGAGGTGTTTCTGGGTGCTGCGATGCACAACAGGGAATTCATCCCCTGCAGGGTCTCCTAAACTGAGAAGGAGTTCGGTGTTTCCATCAGGAAGCCTAGCTAAGAGGCTGATCGAGTAGAAGAATCTCCCTCGAGTCCAGAGATAGATGGGCTATAGGGTTCGCACTTCATTGCAGAGAACAAACTTTTCCCAGACAAGTCTGATACCAATTTCCCAACCCCGGTGTGATGAGAGCTTTGGTGAGTCGCGGGCTTGATTCGAACCAGCACCGCTCTCCTGATGAGCGACTTCACTATCATTGCCGTGAAGGAGCTTCGCTTATAGATGTATAACATTGCTACTTCAACAGTAGGCTTTCGATCGCAGAACAGGAACCTTAAAATTTTCCTAATGCGTAATTTTTGTGTAATTTCGAAGATTGATGTTGTGTGAGGAGGGTGCACGCTCTCACTTCTCTTTCCAGTACGTTTCTATGGCCGTTGCTCATATTAAAACACTGTTGTTTTCCCATGAAATTTAGAACTTATGACAATACTATTTTCTACGTCGTCAAATGCGGCACTGTGTAGAATTCTGGATTCAAAAGAGTAGCGATTGATGTGGATTCTTAGCTTTAAAAACCTAACCATTTTGAACAAATTTGTATTCCACTTCTAAATCCAACACCATTTCAAACACGTTTTGCAGGCTCGTGATGTTTCATGTCTCATGGATGCTGATGAACCATCACGGGTGATCAGTGTACAGATGCAGTTAGTAACCATGCAATGGCTCACTACCAACCAGAAAGCCTTTCATTCTGATCGAATTAGCCAGTCAGTACTAGAGAAATTGATTCGACAGCATTGTCGTAGGGTAAGCTTTATCGCCAATGGTTATTTCTTATTAAATTTTACTATACACTCTTCATTTCGTCCATGTTTCAAAACGGACAACTATTAGTTTTTATTCGTGTAGTATAGGTTGAATACGCTATTGTGAAAAACGTTGATCCGAATCTTTCGCTTCTGTCAAAAATTCGATTAACTGAACATTAAAATTACGCTTGAGTTTCGATATTAGTTAAGCATTATTACGAATTCGGACTATTCTGTAAGTACGGTTTCTTTAAAAGTGTTTGTCAGGCCAACATTTCCAGTGCAGTATTCAGCAGGTTTTTGGTGACCAACATAGTTTTTTTTTTACACTTTAACGAAGACGAAACATTTATTTCGTTTTGCTTACTGCTTTCTACTATTACTATAGAAGCCTAAGCTCGAGTTTCTCGTTATGTGATCACGAACCGAGTTCCAAAATACTCTCTCTACCTTTCGCGAGTTTTTCATAGTAGCGAATATAAAAGACATGAAACAGTGTAAGAAGAAGTCAAATTCCGTTCGCTGATACTACACTTCAGTTTGGTTCGTTATTAATGTCAGAGTTTTTTTTAGTTAGATTGAAGCAAATGTTATTAAAAAGACTTTAAGGATAAAAAAAACCGCTGTGCCTTACTTTTACGGGGCGCGTGTGGCGCAGTGATAGGAGGCGCCCTGCAATACACACGTGGAATCGATCTCCGAGCCAATGGTCCACCAAGCCTTCCATCTCTCCGGTGTCGGCATATTGGTACCAGACTTGTCTGGGAGGGTAGCAGCACTGGCTCGATATATCGGCAAGCCACCGCGAGTCATTGTAAAGGCCAGATATGCATTCAGTCATCTCCAAACGGTGCTTAATGAAGTCAAATGCATGGCTCATCCCTCAGGGATTGATCAACGCCAAGAGCTTTATCCTTTTATCCTTCATCTTACTTTTACCTACTTATCAATCATTGTTATTTCGTATCAGTCTGCCTCCGTTCCTCCATTTACGGTTTCAGAGTTGGCCATTGCGTGTTGCATTGTTGATAGACATGAAGAACACGATTTTCATCCAGGGCCTATGAATAAGTCTCGTCGTTAAGTCGGTAGTTTACTTGTTGTTTGTTTGGTCTTTCATTGAAGTTAGTCCGTATCAACTCATGTTCTGCAGTTGCTTAAGTTATTCATGTCTTGATCATTCTGTTCTCAAGTTTTACTTATGTCGAAGCCTCTTTGATCATCGTGTTCATGGCTCACTAGTTCGAATATTCGCTTCCACGTACATAACATTTCTTCGTTTTTTTCTTCCGTAATCGATCTTTCCATCAGTTTTGCAGAGCCTGGCACATTCGATTCGTTTTCTCGAATTCGTTAACTACGAGGGTCTTCGAACGTTAGCTTGTGGGTTCAGCTGATAATTGAGAATTTTCTTCTTCATTATGAGTGTTGTTCATTGATCGTCAAGTCAATTGTTCATGGAATTATGGGGTAACCGTACTATGGCATTTCCACATGGAGTGGATGGAATGAGCTGATCCCAAGCAAGACTGTTACCAATTTGCCTACCGAGAAAGATGAGAGGCTTTTGTGCCCGGTATGGAATGAAACCAGTACCGTGCTCGTAATTAACGGCGTAACATGGAATACTATCAAAAAAATTGCTTTCTAAATAACGCACTTTTTAATTGTAACTGCACTATTATTATGGCAGTTTACCGTTCTGGTTTCGAAGTACATCCACGTTTCACATGCCTTCTTTATTTCACCAATGTTGTTGTAATCAAATTATTTTGCTCCCTTCTGGTCAACTCTGAAACTAAATTGTTGACCTTTTTCGCTCTTGGACTATCTCGGTAACTAGAATACTGGGATTTCTTCATAACTTTGTGGACGAACGTCACCCATTTTTCGACTGGCGTTCTCATGAGCGGTTAGTTTTTGCGATATGGAACCCTACTGATGTAAGTTTTCTCGAATGTAGAGATTTTATAGTTGCAAAACAGTGGTAAGGGAGGTGTTTGTGCAGTTGGCGAGCATTCTTTATTTACTCACGATATCTTGATTACTCAAGTTTTTAACGATCACTTCCACTTAGAGAGAAAGTGTCTTTCATGTCTGTGAAAACATGTTGGACCGCTGTGAAACTTGAGTGAATTTCGTGGTCATGTGGATATGGCCGGTGCAGGTTTTACGTTGAATGGCAATCGTGTTTTTTTCTAAATTGTAGCGCGCGAAAACTCGAGCCATTGTGTTCGTGAAGACCTGTCATAAGTTATTGAGATGTTCAGCTCTGGTTTTGCTAAGATAAGATGCTGTCTAGTTTTGGAAAGAGTACTAAACGGCAGCGCATTCATCACAGTTATGATGAAGGTAAACATGTAGGTTTGGATTTGGATAATATCGCAAGAAGAATACTGATAGGTTTTTGTGGAAGTAGGCAGTTAGAGATTAACACATAAAATTTGATTATGGTGTGAGACGTTTTCAGCTTGTGATATTAGTCTAGTAGATAATATTTACGACGTGTCAAGCATTGGCAGCTCCAAACAATACGTTCGATGATTTGTCGAAAAGCCTATCGTTTTCCTTCTAGGTATTGCTAATCTGAGTTACTCTTAATGTCATTTAATGGCATTTTTGAAATTATAAGTTGGAACGGGCATTCCCAATGGTGACCTTGTGATAAGACCATCTAATCCGTCGAACTCCTCCATATACCCGTAAACTGCTTCGATTTTGCGCTCATTTTAGGTTTAAGTTGAAGCCTTAGCAACAAAAAGACTTTAATTGTGAGTTAATGCCATGCTTTTTATTTCGTTTATCCTGATCCTTATCCTTTTCGTTTATATATGACAGTTTGTGATAGCATGGATTGTTTTCATTGTCTTGACGACATGATTATTCTGTAGAATTTTGGATATTATTTTCCTTTGCAAATCACACACTTTTATTCAGGTTGAATTGTCACATCTTCCGGATATGTATGAGCCGAAGGCTGTCGTTCCTCGAACTGCTAAACTTTATACCAAGCAAGAATATTCGGAAAAATTCATACTAATATTGGAAGGTCGAGCAATGGTCACTATTGGACAGGTTGGTCTACGTTAATTCATAGATCGATGTTCAAATTTTTGTTACCTTGATGTAATGGATTCGTTTTTAGCTTAAAACTTAAAACCAAAACTTAACAAGAGAAATGAATTTATCAGTAGGTTGTGAATGTAATGCTTGTTTCAAGTTCTTAAGTTTAAAGTTCAAATATGAAATTTAAAACTGAGGGAATTTAAAAGGCCAATGAAAAAATGCATGAGGATACATATAAAAAAGGATGATCTTTACAGGCTGAAATGACTTTTGAGGCTGGGCCTTGGCATGCTTTTGGAACGGAAATGTTAGAGCACCTCTTAGCTCGAAATGAAGTTGACCCTCGCGCACTAGGTGATGTAGAGCAGTCTAGAAACTCACTTTCTTCAGATAGCTCCAAGGTGTGTTAGTTATTCTGTTTTCATTCTTAAAAGAGAAGTTTCTGTCTTACCTACGAATATCTACATCTACTTAGCTGATGTTGAGTTCTCCTCAGCAACACTAGTTTTGATGTTTTGGCGAGTGTATAATTTGAACGATAGGAGCGAAAGTTGCAGAGACTCGGGTTTGTGCCAGATTACTCCGTAGTAGTGCGTGATGACTGCACTTTTCTTGAAATTACTGCTCATGATTGGCTAGCGGCCTACAGAAGCACGCTTATGAGTCGAGGAGAAACAAGGTATTTCTTGCTGATATTCACTCATTTTCTCTTGGAGTTTTTGGCTGTTTTTTGTTGATGTTGGAAAATAGCTGTGCGTTGAACAGATATTTTAAACATTCTGAACTATCTGTTCTATGGGTTCTGAGATCACATCACCGGTAATTCTTGGTATTGAGATTTTTTAAAATTGCTCACGGTTGGTTTTTTCCACTACTATAATTCTACGGCGGGCCAAATTGACCTTATCTTAACGAAAATGGTACAAACAAACTCCTGTGATTGCATACTTCTGGTTCTGTAAGGAGAAAACCACAAGAATGTAATCGTTTTAATGATTTTATTTGCTATGTTATTGGATAGAGAGTCACTCTACTTCTACAGACAGTGTCATTTTTAACATTGCGAATCGCGAAAAATATACATCTCGGGCTAATATATATATATATATATATATATATATATATATAAGTTTAGCATTACCAGAGCTATGTATTGTATCATCTGTAGTCCCGTTGATCGTTGTGTGAATCGGGCAGGCGCCGGTAAATCTTCCATTTTTCCCTGTCCCGTGCAAGAGTGGCCCAATGGGTTCTACTAGCTCTAGGTACTCGTTGAGCATCATATCTTGTAGGCTTTTCATGAAGAAGTCTGCCATCGGGTCCATGGTCTTTCTTCATTATATAGTATATAGGATACATATGTATGTATACATATGCATATATATATATATATATATATATATGTATGTAACTTCAGTGATACTGAGATATTTGCAAAACTCCAGACCGCAAGTGTTTGCGGTGGGGAACGAACGCACTGTTACCCTTTCCAGCGACTAACACTTTCACTACCACACCATGCGGGTCCTTCGTTTCACCTGTCTGCTAGTTCTATCGTTCGCAGTCATCAGCAAGCATCCGTCAGCGGGATTGATCTGGGAAGCCGAAATCGGAAATCAACCAAGTTAAGCTGAGACTATAGTTATAATCACAGTTTTAACTTATCATTTACTGCCTACTCTTTTTAATGGCGGTGTATGTTGCAGCGATCGATAGAACTAGCTGAGAAAGGCGAAACGAAGGATCCGCATTGTGTGATGATAAACGCGTTGGCCGCTTGAAAGGGTAATACTGCGTTCATTCCCCGCCGCAAACATAACACCTGCGATGCGGAGTTTTGCAAATATTTCAGGATCATTGAAGTTATATTTCACAACATACCGTGCCATTAAAGAAAGTAGGTAGGAGATGATAAGTTAAAATTGTGACTATATATATATATATTTATATATATATATATACCGAATCACAATATTACTTTCCTGCGTGATTACCTTCCATAATTCTAATATACTTTTGTTGGTAAAGAAGTGTTCAATTACAGTAACTGGTTGACATAGTTCACCAAAACTGCTTAGTACTTGCAATGAAGTGAACTGCATATGAATCATTTATAAGGGTATGATACTTATCCAACACATTTGTTATGGCGGGCTCTTATTGGCAAAGGATCTATTCTTCGCTTAGAAATATAAAAAAGATCTTTTCTGAAACGGGTGACCGCTAACTTGACTGGAATTTGACTGTAGTTTTATTTCTAATCACTATAATAAATAATAGTTATCGCATTGAATTGTGCTTAAAGAAACTCAACATAAGCTGCAAAACTCTTCCAAGTGCTGACAGCAATGTGTTTGTATGGTGGACTGTAGTAACATATAGTAAACAGTGGCATACATACGATTCATACATGTAGACCGATACAGCAAATTCTCTTACGTACTCCTGCCGAATTCTCAACACTGGTTGTCGAAATGTGGTCTGTTGTCGAAAAACCAGCTGTTCCTTAGTAACAAGAAATTTGGCATTGTCGTATAAATGTTAAAGCAATATATCTGAGCTCATAATGAATTTTATTAATTGCAATAAAAACTACCGGAGTCTGCAGTTATTTACCTACAAGGTGCGAGATATTTTCTTAATGGGATGAAATTCTAATTTGCTGGAGCCCGGAATATTCATTTCTGACATATATATTTATCCCACGTAGTTTAAAGATGGTATTTCCACCTTGAAAGCAAATGAGCAAACGAGATTCCTTACAGCGGAATAGGATGTTGTTCCCCACTGAATCGTTTGTGTTTGCATCTGCCTCTCATCCGTTGGAAATTTTAAAAACTTAAGCTTCGTTGGCGGTTTTTTTCATCTAAAGAGTTTTGGTCCTAAACGTATTTAAATTTTAAGGAATTCCATTTAAAAATAACATATGCCTTTAGTGCGTCAGAGCAAAGTGTATTTTATGAATCTAAAAAGTTCTCAACTCCTGAAATGGTCTCGTGATTGAGAACATGCCGTCTGTTACCGAAGAAACCACAGTCGTCGCAGAAAGGTCACGCACTTTCAGTACAAGTATACTTGACAGGTTGCTCCATATTTGCAACTACACTGGTAAACTATGGAGTACCCGCCAGCATGATATTTTTCAAGTATAAAAATAATAAGAAGAAATTCTATTGGCAAAGGTGGCAAGTACATCAACGAGATTTTAATGCAATATTTAAAGCAGGTTTGTAGGCCATCATTCACAACAGATGGATTGACAGCTCCAAATACTGTTGACAGCGATCTTTCGTGGACAAATATTGGAGAGCAATCCAAACGAAGTTCGCTTGTATCGCATCAGGTTAATGTTTTCTTTTATTCTTTTGAATATTTCGTCAATTGTTCATCTGTAGTATAGCACATTTAAGAGTATAGCTGTACATGGTTGGAGTATTGCAACGGTAGTGTTAAAGTGGACATTTTTTCGACAACGCAGCATCATTTCAGCTAGAATTTGTTCGCCGTAATGGAAAGGCTCGGTCATCAAGTGAGTCTGAGCGTGTGGAACTTCTGCCGCATTCGAATTCGATCACTGGTTCTCCCATGTCGGATAGGTCGTTTCACAGTCCTGTATTATAATGGGTAGTGTTTCTGTGATTACCTATGTATTCTTTTCATGAAAGAATTGCTCATTGTTCCTTCAGCATTTTTTTCGGATAATTCTATGTGATACGGTGGTATAATATTTCCGTGTATTTATTTTATATTTTCGTGTACCGTATGAAAAATAACGACCGTAAATATATATTGCTTTCTTTCAATTCATGATGATCTGATCAAAGATAGTTCTTGTATTCTACTTCCAAGATGTTCCATAAGAGGTTCTATTTTCAAGACGTAGTCAACACCGTAGTTTTGTAGATTTCCACATAATTGCATTATGAGTGGAAGTGTTTAGTTGCGTTTTAATACTTACTTCGTTTTATTACTGCAGTGGTGTGAATTTCATCCAAAGTCACACCTGTGGTCGTTTTAAAATGGTGTGCACCTGTTTTACATATTATGAGTTTTATTTGAGAACAAGTATAGTGCGGCAGTTAGTTGTCATTGTATGTTTTTGTTAATAAGAAGCTCTGTGATCGGCACTAAGTACCACATCAAAAACGAATTGAGAAAGACGTTCTTGAAATAAATTTTTTTTTATATGCAACATCCTTAGGAATCCTGGGCATAAACGAAATGAAAACGCATTCGGCATTATTGAACGCGTTATCGGAAGTGATTCTAGAAGAATTCTTCATCACGTAAAGGAGAGGGGATCCAAAATACCTTGCTGCTTTGATGAGCAAATATCACACGCGAGTGACTGCCAGTTGGGCTACTTTCTCTGGAGCTAGAATTAAAGAATCGTCGTGTTCTTGCCACTGGAACAATCGGAACACTCTGGTCAAACAGTGGGCCGTACTGGAGACGATTGGAAGCATTACTAGTGTATATCCTCGTGTAGCTCGGCGATAACTACGAGGACATACGAAGCAAATGGTGACCTGACCTTTTTAGTGGTTTTCGAGTTTTGGCCAATCTTTCAGCGGATTTTTTGTAAAACACGTTTTAGGCAGTATTTCAAAGGAACAGCGCAGAAAGGATGGATAGAATCACTACGCTGTCCTTTGGTTTTTATCAGTTATTTGACTGCATGGAAATTCACATTTGTGGATTAGAAACTTGTGTATTTCTTGGTGTGTTGCATTCACGGTTGTTGTTTGTTACAAAGAACATAGTATGCAAAGTTCTCATTTATGGAATTCCCATATAAGCAGAGAATCTGGGCCACCAGGTATTGCATTGTGTTCGCTTAGTCCTGATTCCTCTGAAAAATCTATCGCTTCATCGTGGCTGGAAGGTGTTCCTGGGTGTCGGACTGCGATGTACTGCTTGACGATTCGTGCCCCTCGACAGGGTCTCCCAAGCTGAGAAGTAGTCCGGCATCTCCATCAGGAAGCCCAGCTAAGAGAGAGTCAATACCAGAATCCACTACAGTCCTGGTACCAAATTAGTCGCATGGTGCAAATCTACCTCTGATCCACGAGGGCGGCAACTGCTTGTGGTGGTGACGACCTAGGGCAGATTTTGGCCAGACTGACCTCGGGACTCCAGGAAAACCTAACTGGTAATTCAACAAAACTCCGAAGGTAGAGAATATGCTATGGCCCGCACAACCAATGAGGGCAGGTCATTCTGGTATTGAAGTAAGTATTATTTTATTGTTCTTGACGTGTTTTAGGAAAAATTTACTTTCGATTGCCGTATTATTGTACATCAGTGCAGCTCTTATTTTATGCACTTTTTTTAAACTGAATTACAACGTAAATTTTGTTTTTGACAACTTTCACAGATTGGAAATCCCGATGGCCGATCAGCAATTTCGACGAGTCTAAATGTGTTTACGAGCATGAACTTACGGAGCGCAAACAGCTGGAAACAGGAGATATGGGGCCGAGGAAACACTAACAAGTGCACAGTGCGACGTTGGTTTGAAAAACTTCATCATGGCGATTTTATCTTTGGAGATTAAGGTTGTGGACGTCGTTTTGCTAATGACGATCTTGAATTGAACGCTTAGGTGGAGGACACGCACAGATGTTCGAGAATTTGCAGAACTCTTTATTTCATAAGCACTTCAGCTATTTCGAATTATCTAGAGAACGTTTCGCCGTTTCTTCTGCGCAACCAGAGGAAGTTGTTTCTCGACCGTATTGTAACTTACGACGAGAAATGCAACATTGATGATAATCGGTGACGATGGGCTCAATAGTTGGACCGCAGCAATGCACCGCACCATTTCGGAAAGCTGAAATTGCACCAAGCGAAAGCACTGTTGACCGTCTGGTGGTTTCTGGCGGCTTTAATCCTTTGTAGCTTCCTTAATTTGGACGAAACGATTACGGTTACGAAGCATGTCCAGGAAATCGACGCAATGCATCTGAAAGTTCAACGGCTACGCCCCGCACTGGTCAACATAAAGGCACCAATACTTCCCCTGTTGTAAAGCACGGCGTCGCGTCCTGCAAGTGACGATACTAAAGTTGAATGAGCTGAGCTAAGATCTCCATAGACCTCTAACCTCTGACTACCACTTTTTCAAACATATCGATAAATTCCTACATGAAAAATCCTTCAGAAACCAAGCCGAGCCTGAAACTGCTTCCAGTGACTTCATTGCCTCCAGAATTGTAACATTTTTTGCTACTGGTAGGTAAACTTGTTTCTCGTTGGCAAAAATATTTGGATTCTTGTGGCTTTTATTTCGACTGACGAGGTTTGTTCTGAGCTGAGGTATGCCACTTTATAGATACTGTTGGAGATATTGAGCACTCCTCTCCAGTTAACATGTGTCGCAGTAGCCATATATTTGAGATGTCTAGACAGAAAGAAATACCATCTCCTAGATATGGAACCCATAGGAAAAGTTAGCAACGTTTCGAAAGTTGTTCTCAGACTGATGTTGTATGGCACAACGATACGCTGCTGCAAAAAAAAAATGCTGATCGAATAATTGAATTTCGTTCATAATTTCAAGAATATGATTTCGATGCTTCTGTTCAGTTTTGTGATTAACTTATGAAAACCATATTATTCCATTACCATAGAGGTATTTGAACGCTTGTCTAGTTCAGAACATCGTACACTCAGGTTTCGTATTGAAACGGTTTGTCCACCAACCGTTTCAACACGAAGCCATTTGAATGGAACATCCAACTAATCAAGCAGAAAATGTTTCTTTAAATGTTCTCAGCCAAAGTTTCGGTTTATGAAAAGGATTTATGGATTTCTAAGCGTCCATTTGTTGACGAGTGGTGGTAAATTCAGTACAAGCATGAGCGTTTGCACTGTTTACTAATCTCACCCGAAATAAGATGAAAATATGTTTTATGTTTGATGCACTCATTGAAAAATGAAGTGAACACCATTTCTATTTTCACAAAAAAATATGCCACTACCCACTGTACAATGAGGAACAAAGAGAAATACCAGTTGGATATGTATGTGCTTCTTCAGGATTAACGCTAACGAGAACACTGGGATATAACTCTCGAATGATTTCTTTGGTGACTCAGGCTACGTGGACTATCCTTTGCATTTGCTGAAGCAACCAGTGGCGGGTTTCTCTCTTGGTAATAGAATCACACCCGCTGCTCGAACATCCACATCTTCCACAGCCATCATCTCCCTGAAACATCTCCATTCTACATGACCTTACTCAACATATTGGATATCGTACTCTACCATGAAAAAAGAATATACAGTAAATAAAGGTTTAAAAATATTGTCACTTCGGATGCAGCTTCAACTTAACTAGGTTGTACACCTGCTTATGCTCCCCAAATTATTATGGCTGACGGGTAATTACTGGTGGCATCGATAGAGTAAAAACAAGGCTGAGAGAAAGGCGAAACAATGGGTTGGTGCGGTGACAAGCACGTGAGCCCCCAGTACGAGTAATCGCAGATTCGAAACCGTTCTGAGGTCCCAAGTGTTGCTCATACCTCAGCATCCCTGTGGTTGCATTTCTCCATCTACTCATAGATCCTATGTTTATGAAGAGATTGTGAATTTGCTTTGTATTGACTACTCACGCTATATTTACAAGAGGTAATTTGAAATAGAGCATAAATGAAATATTGAACTATGATCATGTTAAAAGAAATAACAGATTAGAAGACAGTTTACCAGATAGGCAAAACGTTGTGACACAATGTCACGGTTTCTAATGGGAGAATTTAGCATTGAGGTCATTACTGTAACGCACTTCATTTGCACCGCAAAGACTTGCATAAATCAAAGCAATGAATATGAAATATGAAATGTACACGGATTTTATTCATCTATTTTGATCCACAAAATACGCTATCACATGTTGTGCGAATCTCTACTAGGAAATTAGGATTTGCACGTGGGTTCGGCTGCTACATGAGGGTTTGTAGTCTTCTTCATGAATTTTAGTGCTAATCTAGTTGGCTCTCCCTCAAATCACGGATTTGCTTTTTTAGAGCTTTACTATCAGTTATCCACTCGTTACCAATTAGTTGCCCAAGAATGATGGCAACGGGATGGAAGGATGGGTTTAATTGGTCCATTGTGGGGTTCTACCAGATATTGCGCACGTATTCCACGGCACCTCTAACTGCTGATATTCTTGTGCACGCGTTAAAAGATTTTGTCATAACTCAATAAAGTCTCAAATCTGCACGACAAAGATTTTTGGTCACCTCGTTAAAGCCAATATGGAGCCATCCACATTACTTCCATCCAGTGCACTTGTCTCCATGAATAAAACACCCATTTTCTAAAACTAGTAACTTGTATTGTTATTAGTCCATATCAATTAATATTGGTTATCAATATTGTAGAAAATATTCGGTCACTGAATGTGGCAAGCATAATCTATACGCCTAATGAAAAAAGAACACAACAGTGTTTTCCAAACATCTTAGACTCCTTCGAGCAGTTATTAAGACATTATCCGAAGAAATATGGACTACAGAAATACTCTGCCGAATAATCCTTGAGATGAAATCCACGTAAATTTACGTAAGGAATACAAAATGCTCGTTATTTCGAGGATTTGGTGCAATAAGTATAATATACAAGAGATGTTTATTCCTGCGTGCTTCTTCAATTCTTAAAAACCCATCATGCCTATGTTTAAACTTTCTTGGGTTAGGCCGAAAAGTTCTGCGATACGCCACTTATATATCCCACAGTGCTGTAACGGTTTTGGATTGTGAATGCAATCTATAACCTAGTCATCATTAATATATCTAACTCAATAGTATCTCACATAATAGTTGCTCAGTTGTGTTCATGGTGTCGAACTGCAATTTATGGAGGCTTGTCCCCCGACAAGATCACACAAGCTGAAAAGGAGTTCGACACTTCCACTAAGAATCTCGGAAGTAAACCTATGCAACCACAAAGCTCTAGAAGCAACCAGTGGCTCGTTTTTTTTAATCAATAACAAGGATAAAAGGACAAAGGCTACCATGCCACAAATGTGACGTTTTACGTTACCCACCGAAGAACATAAACTTTTGATCAGCCCTGGTGTGACAGTGATAGATCGAATTTTTTGGACCAAAACATCCACTCAACCACATCACTGCCGTGCTTTGGCAGTCAATTTTCCAATCCATGAGTGTATTTTGGCATTTTTTATATCTGCCCAATTCATATGACTATTGTTTATCACAGTTATTGTAGAGGAATGAACGATCAGCTCAGTAAATTTTATAGGCTTGAATTATCACAACGAAAAAATAATCGGACTTGATTTTTGATTGACAGTTCATTTAAGCGGAATGTTAATAACCTGAAGACGCTAAAGACCGTGGATATGCTTCGGATTTGATTATGAGCAGAAAGAACAAAAATAGGCAAGAGAGGTGAACAGAGGAAGAGATTTATCGGCTAGGTTCCTTCACATTGAAAAGGTTAGCTTCTTATGGTTGAAAGATTACTAGAGCATCAGTTCGCCCCAACATAACCGATTCAAACGTAAAGTATGAATATTTGTTCTCTGTTGCCCTCATCCCCATTTTGCCAACAATAAAACTGAGGATGAAAAAACGGATTCATTAAGGTGGTACCTCTTATCGAACTTGTTAACTCAAATTTTGAGATGGTCTGAAACAAGCCCAACAGAAACGTCTGCATCGATGAATTCCTCATGTGTTTAAAGGAAGAGTACCAGTGAGAAGAGATAAACATTTCTTAAAAATGCAAATATGAAATTAAATGTAACGAATTATGCACACACAACGACTGAGTGCATCTACAGATCTTTAATGCATGTCAACAAGGTATAAAATAACAGCGTAGTTGAATCAGTGGTGATGGACTTCAAGAACGTCTTGCTTGATTAAGGAACGCATACACACACTGCTAACTGACATGCAGGCACCAAATTATTTACCGCCTTATCCTGGCTAGGTGGAATGTTTCCGAGTTTCGGACTTCTTGTAGGTCGGGAGGTTCATCTCCCCTGCACGGTCCTTCAGGCCGAGAGGAAGTGCAACTTTTTCATTAGGAACCTAGCTAGGAGTAAACCAAAACCAGGAATCACCGTCGCTCTTGTAGTACACTGGTCTCAAGGTCTCAACCATCCCCCCCCCCCCCCCCCCCCCCCCCCCCCCCCCCCCCCCCNCCCCCCCCACCCACCTATCCACTTAGGCCGGCAACTACCTCTGATGACGACATGAAAAAAGCTCCAGCTAGGCCGACTTCCAGACTTCAAGAGACCACAAATGGCTTAGCAAACAATAAACCTGCTTCATTACCTTGCACACTAGGCGCTATCATCTAGGGCGTCTTATAAACAATGGTAGAAAGAAATCACGACACCAGGTCTGCCGTAATACGCACCAACCATGTCAACATTATGTCTAGGAAACGCTTTATGAAGACTGTTTTGTGTGTTTCCTAGACACTGCTTCAGTGAGAGAAACCGAATTTGTAAACAGTAGAAGTTGCATGCTGTAATCATTACAAATCCTCCATAAATAGTAAGTTTTGTAGAGACAGTGTATTCTAGAGATTGTGCATCCTATGGCAACAGTGTGAAATACAAGAATTTCAGGTTCCAGAATAAATGTCCTTAGCTAAGATGTTCAACGAAACGAATTCAAGAAGTGCTGTGGCTCGCACGACCTCCTCATCTATGTAAATCGCAAAAAAGTGTTCCCAGCTTTATTTAAACTAAATTTGTTAAGGTGAAAAAGTGGCAAATTCATCAAGTCGATAAGACCATGGGATGTAAAGCACAGCACGTGGAATTGAACATTCGCAGATTTCGATTATCCTTCACACATTAGCGAAAACACCCTGTTTCTGTGGCCGATGCATGGGACGATGAGGCCTATCCATGCTGCGCATGCGTCCACACCTTTTCTTCAAGTTTTTTGCCCAACAACTCAGCATTCAGATGTAGTTTCCTTCATTTATTGGCTTTTTAAGTATAAAGTAAAGATTTTACTAACGGCCACTAGATTCAAAACAGACAAAGAAACTCCCAGAGAATGCTTTGCCGTAAAGTGCTAGGTAGAAGGAATAGTTTTCCGTTAACTGCCCTATGTAAATTTGTGGTGTGAAGACTATCGATTGAGTACAGAAAGCACAGTAAAACGCATGGTGTGGCAAAATAAATAGTTGGACAGAAAATGTTCCGAAATCAATGCACAGGATACTTTATGTTTGCATTGGAACCAAGGCTCATCGTTGTGAATGTGCCAATAAACTAGTTGTTGTTTTGACCACAAACTGCTTGAGAAAACGAGTTCTTAATTAAAAAGTACTTATAATTAGTTGTGAAAACTAACTAACTAGGAGGTTAGCGTTTTTACTTTTTAAACCAGCATTGCAGTCAATTTGTCGACCATATGGAATTGCAGGAGTTTTCTATGGTAGCAACAAGTTTCAAACTTGCGAAAGTCTCATCTCATTGAACTGTACGATGCCGCCTTTAATAGAATGCATACCGCAGCTAAAGCAGCTCCGTCGTGACTTGACACCACTTCTCCTAAATTGTGTCGTAGGTCGCATTTGTTACCAACCAAAATTATTGGAATTTTTCGCTCAACCGAATCCTGCAAAGAGTACCTCTTCACTGTATAGCTGAAAACTATCATTGAAAAAAATCACTTTTTGTTTAAGCCGTAATATTCGTAAAAGACAAAGGCGAGACGGTTATACTAAAGAAAAAAGCAGCGCAACGTAATATCCCTACAGTGTGATATCACTCGTTCAGCTGTTCGCATCCAAAGTCGAAAAGTGTTCGAGGAGGTATTTATACGAAGAACAAACAGAAATACTTGAATAAAACGAGGAACAAAGCAAACGACTGCAGATGCGTCACCGTGATGTTGAAGGAGATTAGATTTCTTGCACTTTCACTCAATTAATGTGAAGGAGTTTATAGAATTCGATATCGCATGTAACTACCGTCTACTTCAAGAGGGGGAACAACCATTAAGGATTATTTCAGTAAAAATTCGGCGAAGTAGATTTTAAAAAGGAAAGGTGGAATGAAGATTCTATGTCTAAACCAGTTCCCATAAGATTGCCGAATATTGTAACACTATGAGCGCTCTTAACCTTTTTTTTTACTGCCAATTCTTTTTAACGGCAGGGTATTTTGCGAAATATAATTAGGACTAGCTGGGAGACAGGCGAAACTAATGACCCGCATGGTGTGGTGGTGAACGCGTTACTCCCCGGATATGACAATAACGCGTTCGTTCATCACCGCAGACACCTGCGGTCCGGAGTTTTGCAACTATGAACTCTCTTGTGCTGCGGAAACTTCAAAAGTGCTATGATAAAAAGGGTCTCAAAACAACCTCTCATTTAGATTACTGGTTTCTTTCTGTGCTACTCAGCTTTTAGTATCTAGACTTCACGTACAATTTTGCATCGGACCCACCAAGAGAGAACATGAGTCTCCAAATTTAGGCACTATCAGCAATGCAGGTGACCAATGAAGGCCTACCATAAGAACTACCATCCTCTTGCTCCTTGTCGACAAGGAAAAAGTGCATTCAATATCACAACGATTCTGCCTAGAATAAGATGTCCAAGTGCTGATATCACCTATCTAAAAAAGCACATGCACCACTGCAAGAATACCACTGTAGCAATTAACATATCTCTTTCATAGACCCATCACAACACCATTTGAAAATGCCAAGAGGGACGGTGATATTAGTTGGTCGTATAGTCGGCAAAATATCAGTGATAACGCGAAATGGGTAATCTACGAATAGTTACATTCAAGACAAGAGAAATTTGGCGTATTTCCAAGTACTCGAAGACCAAAAGTTTAGCGCTCACTTTTTCGATTTTTTTCCAGGAATTTTCCAAAGACTATCCAACACCTAACGAGTTCAGCGAACTACTAGTATACTAATAAACCTTATAATTTACAATCCCTGAAAAGTTTAAAGCTTTTGAGAGATAGTGCTAAACAGATCTAAACTGAATCACATGTGTACTGGTAATGTTATAAGACAAGACGCCATTTAGACAATAAGAGCGTCAAAGCACGTCTTAGAGTAAAAAGGCTATTTTCAGGATGATCGCCAATAATAGGCGTAGAGTTTCTGCTTAATACTTTAAAGTAAATATGCCTGTTAAGGAATTATTACTCCTATTTACTCCTATTTATTAGCATTGCAGTTTCGATTCTATTCGTTGTTGTACGAAGGCGATTACCTCCTGCACAACGGTCACGTGGAAAAATGAGGAACAGTTATGTTGGTTGATTAGAACGATGTGTGAAGCAGAGTAATTCGCCATGTAAACACAAGGCTGCGAAAATCAGTATAAAGCGAAATCGTTTTTAAAAACCTTAATCGTGTCGATCCAGTCTCGCACTTTGATAAATGAATGCTCAGATGAGACGTTATAGACTAGAATGGCGCCGTCAGCACGTCGGAAATATGATTTGCATAAGGAACGGAACCTATTAAAGCAACAGTAAAGTATTGCACTAGCCATGAGTTAAAAAATTACTCTGGCCATCTTTGTTCGAATAATTTTGGCTTCGTTAAGGAGCATTGCTCACCTCTCTTGGCCAGCGGTGTCCCATAGTTGGAGAGCAACATTCCTACCATCGACATTCACTGTCTTCACATGGAAATCCACACCTACACGGAAATGCTTTCTCTACAGTTAAATATGTAGAGAAATAAATTAGTCCTTCTTATGCATCAGTGCCAAAGATAAGCAACAGTTACCAAGTGTACTCGGGAGGTTTGCGCAATGTTTGCCGCTTATCAGTCTCATAACTAAACTGCTTTTCCCAACAGCTGCTTCGCCACACATAACTACTCGAAAAGTTCGTTCGGCGGGTCCTGTAGCAGCATGAAGTCCCTGAAGAAAAAACTGCAGTTCTACAAGGGTATTATCTTTTTAGGTATATTACTCTCTTATTATCAATTAATATGGATCAGCACACCTACAATGGGATGGGTTGGACGCCAGTTTTCTGCAGTCATTCGGATGCAGTTGTAAATATTGCACAATATTACCTATTTGATACTTGATACTTTAACGCCTCGTCCTCAGTCCCAGAATAGTGTCCATTTTTCGAAGATTTGCTCGTTAAGCCGTTGTGGTTCCCTGGAGTCCCGAGGTCAGCCTGGCCAAAGTCTGCCCCAGATCTTCACCACCACAGGCAGTCGCAGCCCTTGTGGATCAGAGGGAGATTTACCACCATGTGACTTTGATACCAGGACGGTGGTAGATCCTGGTATTGGTTTATTTAGCTAGGCTTCGTGATGGAAACGCCGGACTTCTCAGCTTGAGAGACCCTGCCGTGGGGACGAATCTCCCGTCGTACATCATAGCCCGATACCCAGGAACACCTTCCAACAGCGATGATACGCCAAACCGTTGCGAGGTTTGCACAATGTTAGAGATTAGAAAAATAAAAAGTCGTGCTTCAGCTGAAAAATGTGTTATCTTTAGCAACATGGACATATCATACTTTGATCAAAATTAACAGTTACGTAGCTTGATCCACTTCACAAAACGCTGTTGCAGTACCTCGTTGTATTAACAACCAAACATCACCCTCTACTATTGAAGTTGTGAGATTAGTATTGCAGCAATTCCTCCCTATCTTCGACATTTCCTCTTATGAATGAAATATACTTTCCATTAAAACCTACTCAAGAAAATCGCTGAACCAATCTTAATGAGCTAAATCGTCGTGACGCTATATGTCGTGTGAAATATACTAAACCGATCTCTAATTAATCAATGTATTGAAGCTTTGTAAAGTTAGTATCATGTCATGTCAGAAGCTCTAGCTACCCGTTCTGCCTTAGCATCTTCTTCTAACTATAAAATGTATCGTCGTCAACTTTTATTTACTACCTACTACTTTCTTCATGGCCGGGTATTGTGTAAAATATAGCCATAATGATGCTGAGATAAATCGATGTTTTTCTTCAATAAGCAGACATAAGGTTGTTATTACAGGTTTTATTAGGATACAATAGCTGACGTTTCGGCGGTTTCGCCTTCTTCATTGCTTCTTCAGCCGCACAGAGTAATACATGGGCGATCGCTGCTATCCGTCAACTAACTTAAATACAACAAATAAACGGCTCCGAAGAAGGCAAAACCGCCGAAACGTCAGCTATTGTATCCTAATAAATCCTACAATAGCAACCTCGTGTCTGCTTATTGAAGAAAAACATCGATTTATCAATCAATGCCGAGGTTAAAAGAAAGTCGGTCGTGGGATGCTGAGATACTTGTGAAACCCCGGACCGCTGGTGTTTGCACTGGGTACCGAACACGCCATTACCCTTTTCCGAGGCTAACGCGTTCACCACCATACCATGCCCCGGAAAGGGTAGTAGCGTGTTCGGTCCCACTGCAGACACCGTCGGTCCAGTCAGCATCATTGTAGTTATAGAACGCATTATTTACCATAATTTACACAAGTAAATATATGTGTATGTGCACGTGCCAATGAAAGAACCTATAAATTGGACTAAGTGATAAAAATTTAAGACAGTACTGACTGTACCCCATAGGGGGCACTCCTGAGTAAAAGAAGAATTGAAACTCCTTCACCACCTCTCGCATTTATTTCCTTTTTCGTATTTGCTTGTCTCAAACGTAACTGTCTCAAACGAAGTAATTCAGTTAGATAGCATAACCTTACGCGGTAGAAGAAGAAACCCACGTATGCTGCAAACTTTCGTGATATTGCATTCTTTTTTAAAATGATGGCATTCCTCTGCCTAATTAAAAAATATTCAATTTTAACGTTTCAAAATTTTTTAAAATTGAAAAAAATTTCAGTGAATTCCTAAAATAAAAAGGGGCGGATACCACATGGATAGTGATGTCGGTCATCTCGAGCGTGCTGCTAGTCCGATTCCGCTCTGGGCTAAACAAGCCTCTCATCCTTCCGCGGTCGGGAAATTGGTGTCGGACTTGTCCGGGAAAAAGCACTCTCTGCAGTCGAAGTGCGAACGCTCTATGATGGTTATCTGAGGACTACAGGGAGAACCGACTCGACCAGCACTGTACGACATTCAAGATGAAATGAAAATCCTCAAGCAGCTACCGAATCCACACGTAAAAGTTCGAAGATCTTCGTGGATAATGGGTGCGAGGAAACGAATCGAAAGTGGGAAGCGCTGGGATCCGCACAGTAGACGTGAAGAAGAGTCATATAAAGTGAAAAAGAATACAAAAGTTAAGTAAAATCTGTATTAGTTGCATACACCATACCAAAATAGGCTCTATATCTCCCTTTGGTTTATCTGAATCGCTCGAACAGTTTGCTTCATCGAACGAAATTACAAGACCAGAGTCTGAAGATAACCACTTAAGCCAACGAAGTTGCAGTTCTACGCTATTAGATTGTTCAGCAATAAATGAGCGTTTTAAAGCATTTGTTGATTCAATGCATTTTTTACCAACAAAATATTCTTTGTACCCTGCAATATTATATGTCGTTAAAAGCCTACCTTATTTAATGTTTCTTTTAACATGTTTTATGATTTGCCAAAAATTAAATTTTTCCCCCAATTTGAAGGCTTGTAGTTAGAGATGTCAAAAACGAATTTACGTCAAATTTTCTTTTATGAGCTCAAACTTGGTCGTAGCGGAGAGCAAAGACGGCTCGAAACATTAATGAAGTTTGGGGTAAAGGAGTGTTGTTGAATCAACAGTGCTAACACGGTTACGGAAATTCCGATCTGGTGATTACGACCTCCAAGATAAGGAAGGCCGTGGACGTCTCCATGAACGTGACAACGACGAATTGAAGGCATCAGGGAAATTAAACACGCGAACAACTGTTCGAGAGCTTGCAGAACAGCTTGGCGTAAGTACAGGAACAGTTTCCACTCACTTGAATCGCATAAGAAATGCAAAAAACTCGACAAGTGTGTGCTGCCCGAATTAAACGATAATTTTAAAAAAAACTTCGCTTAGAAGTGGCGTCTGCTATTATTCTACGCCACAAAAACGACCCTTTTCTTGATCGAATTGCGACGTGCGACGAGAAGTGGATTCTGTAGCGACGTTCAGCTCAGTGGATGGATTGCGATCAGGCACCATAGCACTTCACAAAGCCGAAATTGCACCAAAAAAGGTTATGGTGACTGTTTGGTGGCCTGCAGCCAGGCTGATTCATCACAGCTTTTTGAACCCGAGCGAAACGACTAGGTATTGCCGACAAATCGACAACTGCACCGCAAACTCCAACAACAGCTACAGGCATCATTTAACAGAAAAAGACCAATCTTTCTCCACGACAACGCCCGGCCTCACGTTCAGGAACCAGTATGGTAGAAGTTGAACGAGCTGCGCTACGAAACTTTTTCTCATCCGCCACTCACCAGACCTCTCGCCTACCGACTATTACTTCTTCAAGTACCTTGACAACATCTTGAGTGAAAAATGCTTCACCAACCGCGATGACGCAAAAAATGCCTTCAACGAATCCACCGCTTCAAGAACTCTAGAATTTCATGCAACCGAAATAAGCAAACTTGTTCCTCGTTGGCAAAAACCTTTAGATTCAATTGTTTTTATTTTGATTAATTAACCTTTGTTTAAGGCAAGTTATGACACTTTGAAAAATATAGTTAAAAACGCTCATTTATTTCTGAAAAACCTGGTAAAAACTTAGTACCACCTTCTTCGTCAGCTGGAAGTTCATTACACGTTGACACAGCGGAAAACCGGAGAGGCTCGAGTGATTGGCTCTGATGTGCTGGTATACCCTCGGAAGCACTCCTTGCAAAATTGGGAGATGGTGTTCTCTGAAACTTAGCATAGAGTAATTCCTTGCACCGAGTTCCTACTAACTTGGGCATTGTTCGAGCAGTCAGTATTTTTTCTTGAGCATACACGAGGTTGTCAGTAACAAGATTAATTCAATACTGGCTGGCACTTTGATGGTTTCTTCTTCTTCAAAGCGTGTAATGGTTAGACTGACACGCATTCTATTCAGTCAAGCACTTTCCTAACCTCAGAAGAAGTTGTTAATAGCTAAACTTTAGTCGCATCGGAAACAACTGCTCGCAAGCACCCGCCGCTTTGTTCCTTATATGTCTAGCAGCTCTTTCATGAAAACCAGCCGTTACATGGATGGGGAATGTGCTTGGCTTAGGTCAAAAAATCAGCCTGAGCGAGGTGCAACTTTTAGAATCCTGTGCGAATATAGTGACTTTACTTCAAAATCATATTCATTATGGCTTGTTTTCCTATGTGCTCCTAGTGGAGTGTCCTATTTGACTTTGTTTCCCAACTAATTTTAACAACTTGGTGCTCTTTTACACGGATGCCGAATGTTTTACTTCCTTCACCAATGTACTTGTTCCCATATGCTTTACAAGAGATTAGGCACACGCACCCGAACTCAAGAATTCACCGTCTCTGCGGTTAAGACAAATTATTCAATTTTGTGCTTCGCAAAGGCAGTCGTACAGGTGGCTGCGGGCTAGGCTACCGAATTCAATAGACCGGCCATTTTTAATCATCGCCTTGTAGCTGTGCTTACTTTATTGAAAACATAGGGCACCTTATACGCGACCCTATTTTCGCAATATTTATCGTTTTGAGGTGTGGTTTTTCCTCTAAACCAATCTCGAGCAGCTACCGTATCGTACCCGTTGAGAATGGCTATTTTCGCACCAAGTTCATTGATTCGGCCTCCTACTCTCTTCCCGTCCACATACTTTTGGCTGTTGAAAGCATGTTTCTCGCGACCGTCCTTTTTGTCTGTGAAAGACGAGAGGAGAGATAATGAACCAGTATGTTTTATTACTTGGCTTTCGGCACCACTTGGTGATGCGGCCGTTTGTGAATAGGGCAATTTGAATAGTGAATTTGACTTAAACCATGCAAGAGCGTCAGGCCTCCATCAACAAGTGCCAGCCTTATAAAAAACGAAACGGCTCGTGTTTTGTAAAAGAACCCGTTGTCCATACCATTGAAAGTCTAGCTATTAAGTTTTGTCTGCTGAGGTTATGAAAGTGTCTAAGCGAGTTGACTGCACGCTGTTTTAACCCTTCCAGGTTTTCAAGGATGCGAAACCGCCGAAACGTCAGCCAGTATTGAATAAATCGTGTTATCAACAAACTCATGTCCTCTCAAGAAGAACATACTTTCATGATTTTCTGACTTATTTAAGATACGGTACTACAAATATATGCTATTCATCGTCTACAGTAATGACACGAAATTCCTATCTCTGTATTCTACGCATCTTACCAGATTGAATTGCTTGATGACAGATGCGCGACTATCTAGTGCGTCTCTCAAGCTCTCGTTCGTTTCATGTAACTTCTTATTAGCCTCACTAAAAACAAAAAACATCTTCGGAGCTATAGTGAAGATAAACAAGGAGCCTGCGAAATGACACAATACATGACACTCACAAAAGGAGTTGTATTTGACGGTGCATTGTTTCGCTTTCTTGCGATACCATAGAGACCTCATCTGAAGTACATAACAACATTGAATTGGACTCGTGGAATGAGGCGGATTTCATAGAAACATATCATGCACCTCTATGCCGCAGAAGTTCATTTTGCTTGTGCTCATAGTCTGCTCGAACATGTGCTAATTCACTTTTGATCATAGCTAATTCTAGGTGATTTTCCGCAAGTCCTCGACGCAGCTCAGTATTTTCCGAACACACTTCCTAAAAAACTTTGAAAGTTATGAACTAAAGAGAAAATTCTTGATTAGCAGTTTGTAAGAAAAGACCTACAAGTATTTCTGATCGTGAAGCACTTTAAACACTATCAATTTCCGTAGGGTGCACACTTCGAAAAAAAAGGTTTTTATAACAGATAAATCTGGAATCGTGGCACCTTCAAACGTTCTTGAAGCTCTTTTTGGTGGCTTAGTTTCTGTCCTTCCTTCTCTAAAACGCTCTCCATTTTCTGAAGCCGTTCTATATTCCCTTGCATAGTTCGCATCTCGTCGGCCATACGTGCTTGCATTTCTTCCTTCTCTTTTGTTAACCTCGCCCTCTCCTGAACAATACTTTGCATTTTTCCCACTGTTATTTACGGGTACGATACTACCACTCGTGTCCAATGTTGTAAAGCGATCATCCAACGGAATTGTATACCTCTTCTCTAGCTTTCCGTTCTGCCAACATCACCTGTTGGTCCAGCTCGTTTTCCACTTCCTCCATTCGCCTATTGTACATGTCTTTTTCACTAAAAAAGAACACAAAGTAGCCATTCTTTTCTCGTTGCTGAGAAACACTAATCGTACTAACGTTCCGAAAAGAAAATTCCAGGCTTCTTTGTATTTTTAAAGCAAAAAAATATGTACAACACTCCAGATTCAAAGCAACGGAACAAGAAACTGAAACTTTTATGCTTGTCGCTTTCAAAAATCTTACCTTCGTAGTTTATACCAGCATAGTTCAAGAGATTCTTTTGTGAAGAATAACGAATTAGTACGATTGAGAAAGACGAATAGTCTTTAAAATACAGGAAGAGGGTACTTTTAACTTCAATCTATAGTTCCAAGTTTCGAACACACTGCGTCGTTTTCTTGTTCAGCAATCGCGAGGTTTTTAAGCAGCATACATTGACTTCCATAGAAAAACACAATGCAATAGCTGAACACTGACGTACACTAGCTGACGTTTCGGCAGTATCGCCTTCTTCAGAGCCGCTTTTTACGTGACTTCCAATGAGCAAGTTTAGAACAGCTGATTATAGTCGTATGTGGTTGACGACTCAACGACACGACACCAACAAACTGATGTGAAATTCAAGAAGAAAAGTTTTACCTCTCTTCTAAATGTTCCTGCTCTGTTATATGAGATCGTGGCCGACATACGATGAATAGATTTACTGGCACTTCAAAACCATTTTTATTTGACAATACACTCAAAGAATATCGAGCTCCTCCCAAAATTTCTTCAGATTAGATGATTTCGATGATGAAGTAGAGCTCAGTTTTATGATTAACATTTTTTTTGTAAGGCTTAATTTGCCCTTCTTACGACAGGGACGGTGATTGCATGAGTTCAGGTACGATATACTTGATCTCTTGTAATAATTGCAGAGATGAATATATTGGCGAAACGGGCAGACCTTTGTGTATCCGTATAAAAATACACCTAGATGGCAAACGAAAACTAAGACGAAGCACCCCACTAGGCACACATAGGATACAAAAGCATAGCGGAGACGATTTTGAAGTAAAAGTCAATATCCTTGCACAGGACTCCAAAACACCAGCGCGAAAACTCCTTGAGGCTTTTTGGATCAATGCCAAAAACCCTACAATGAATAGCAGGGATGAATGCCCGGAGGTCATACGTGACCTGATCCCGTATATTCCTATCAGTTTCTGATGTGGGATGGTGCAGTCATCAACCGTATGCGACTATAGTCAGCTGTTCTAGTCTTCCCCATTGGATGTCACATAAAAAGCTGAGTTTTTCGAGAAGCTGTTGATCATGTAATTATCGTAGTTTTTCGCCTTTTTGTGTTATTGAAGCGTTTGGCCTAGTAGATTGTATATCACTATACCCTTCCAGGCTCTGAACAAGGCGATACTGCCGAAACGTCAGCTAGAGTTGTATTGTATTGTGTTTTTCTATGGAAGTAAATGTATGCTGTTTAAAAACCTCGCGATTGTTGAGCAAGAAAACGACGCATTCATATTCCAATGCCGAGGTTAATAGAAAGTCGATCCTGGGAACGCTTCTCTTTAATTTCAGGACTAGTGAGCAAGACTTTTTATAAACATCACACTTGGTTGGAAAAATCGATGTACATGTACTAATACATTTAGCATGGTTTTCCAGTTATAAGAACGAAATTAGTTTCCTAATTCGGTCAAGGTAAAACCTTGATAACTTTTCCGTTGATATCTAACAAAAAATGACTACATAACGCTGAGACTCACGTTTCGTAAACGTGTTGTAAACGTTGGTTTTCATCTTTCTGCTCCTTGATTTCCTTATAGAACGACCCGACTATACGTTCATATTTACGTAAAAGCTGTGGAACACCGGCCGACTGAAGTTGTTGATAAAGTAAAACAACTTCCTCTTGGCTGAAATATTAATTGTAAAACGAGAGGGAATATTGCACGTCAAAACTACTGTCCAAAGACAGATTGAGTGTAAAAAGACAAATTCCAAAGTGTACGCGTAAATCACAATGTTTTACTTTTTATCTTCTACCTACTACAATTTTTACGGTAGTGTATTAGACGAAATGCAACCACAACGTTGCTGAGATATTTGCAAAACACCGGATCCCAGATGTCGGTGGGGAACGAACGCGCTATTACCTTTCCCGAGGGCTAACGCGTTCACCACCACACCATGCGGGTCCTTCGTTTTCTTCTGTTTGTCAGCTAATTCTATCGATCAGCGACATCAGCATTCACCCAGAAAGGGTAATAGCGCATTCAATCCCCACCCTAGACACCTGCGGTCTGGAGTGTTGAAAATATCTCAGCAAAGTTGTGGTTGTAGGTGTAAATCTGGACTTTTTTTAATACTGAAAGGGATAATTCTTTGCGCAACTTTTGAGTTGTAGTAATAGAAAATGTTTACGCAGTAGCTGACTTTCCAAACGGATACTTCATGGATAATATTAATATTGGCTATCTGGGGGTTGATACTAGCGATCGTGTAAATTTACCATGGAAGAGAAAAATCAATGCTCATGTTCGTGTCAGATTCTGAATTGTACACGTCATCTTCCAAATTGCGTAGCCGATTGGGACGAATAAACTGAAATGGGTATTGTCAACGTACCCACTAGATTCGCATATAAGAGCCACTATGCTTTTCTTTCGGTAGAGACTTCATCGTTTACCTCTTTTAGTTAGAAAGAACCGAATGCATGACTGCCTAAACAGAAAAACCCTGGATGACAATGCGCACAGCAACAAAAAAAGTCTTCCAGCACGGATGTCCTTGGAACTTGAGATCAGTAGAGATTTACCAATACATTTCAACTACCAGATGCGACTCATTATTTATGAAATTCTGTCGAAATCGGAAGAAGTTCGTACTACGAATGGAACTCTACGCCTTGCTTCTATCGCCCAACTCACAGGTAGGAATTACAGTTTTATACGGTCGACGACCTAGGAGTAGCAAAACAACTTTAACACAGATGCGCTCCTTCGTAGTGATGGCGGACACAGTAGCAAAGGATTTCCAAGACCGACTTTCTGTTAACCTCGGCATTGTTTGATAATTCGATGGTTTTCTTCAATAAGCAGACACGAGGTTCTTATTATAGAATTTATTAGGATACAATAGCCGACGTTTCGGCGGTTTCGCCTTCTTCAGAGCCTGGAAAGGTCAAATTGAGATGCGATCTACCCAGCCAAACACTTTCATAACGCCAGCAGATAAAACTTAATAAATAAATTTGCATTCGCATAAGAAACAGCTTCATTTAAATTCAATTTGACCTTTCCAGGCTCTGAAGAAGGCGAAACCGCCGAAACGTCAGCTATTGTATTCTAATGAATTCTATAATAACAACCTCGTGTCTACTTATTGAAGAAAAACACCAAAGGATTTGCATTGCTATTAGCATGTTCCTATAAAGCTCAAAAATTCTTAAACGCTATGTTAGCTCATTTTTGGTGTCTATTAATCAAGAAGTTGCGTGGAAGTGGCAGATAGGGAGTTATAGTTAAAACGAAAGCGACAGCCTCTACCGAGTTGGCTTCGCCTATACGTTCTTCATATATTTATCGTTAGAGAAACTTCATGAGAAGGCTACTATAGAATAGCGTTGAGATGAAGATCGACGGTAGGGAGTTAAACCACCCTTGCTCTTCTGCTAACACTGTTCTTCTAACATCAAGCCTAGACCAGGGTAAATGAGTGCTAGCCGTAGACGATAGTGTGTGTGAAAAATTCGCCTTTGGTTGAAAATAAAGAAAACGTTTCAGGAAAAACGATGTTTTCGACGCATCACCTTTACCCACTTAACAGAAGGAATATCTTCGAATTATCCAACTACGTATATCTGATTTATGACATAAATTGAAGCAATTTCAGGCCAAATCTGAGGTGGAAATTAGCGGCGTAGAAATTTTATTAGACGTTGTGAAGAGCACAAAGAACACTCATTTCTTTGGTCTCACGGTTCTCATTGCTCCTACGTGAGCTTAGATGCTCCGAAAATAAAAGTGAATCTACTGTTATCAACGGCATTACGGGGTGTGTAGATGTTAAGACAGTGTAGTATTCCGTAAATAAACCACAGAATGTAGATTTCGGACCTCTATCAAGGATCTATATGCTGCCGAATACACCAGGATTTTAAACACATGGTAAGCTGAATATATGTTGCCCCTTAACGAGAGCTAGTGATACAGAAGCTTGGCAAATTGATATAACGGGATGTCTAAATAGTGCAGGAAAGAAGTGAGATGTGTTGGCTTTTTTCCATCATTATGCTGCTGTAATACATATATCTACCGAGATTCATTAGGAATGAATTTACTTTTTTTAATGAGCAGCTCTGAAATGAGAGAACTTCACCGAAGAATCCGCATCACTATCAAACACTTCGTCGGCTCCTTGGGACGGTGAGACGGTGTCCTTTAGCTTTTGCGATCCGTTCTGCTCCACACTATTCAGACCTGAATACTCGATGACGCTTGCTCGTCGTTGCATTCCCCCATATCCTGAATTCCACATAACGATGATATGGCTACGGCTTATTTAATGAACGGAGACCACCCCATTCATGAAATTTTGCCATTCTTAAAGCTTTTCATTATTTAATAGTTGTTCTAAATTTCATGTCCACAAGAATTTACTTGTGTATTTTAACACAGCTTTCGATAGAAAGCACTGCAGTGTATAACCTCGCATCCTGTGTGAATCGATAACAATTACTCACGGATTATAAACACATAACAAAAACACGTGTCGATATTTTGTAACTATCAGTACCAAAGTAACTATAAACACAAGGATAAACTCAATCACAGTTCTCTGATTTAATCATAACGTATTTCAACAACGTTAGAAGACAAATCTTGTACTACATCGATTTTCAAAAGACTTAGTCAGTATTTGGAGAGAAATGAAAAACCCTCATTATTGGTAATTCGACTAACAACTCAGACTTACAACGACTCGGCTAATTTTTGCTATTGAATTATGCAAACCTTATGACAGTCAAGGGCGCGTGTGGCACAGTCACAGTGGTCGGAGGCATCCTGCAACACACAGGCGGAATCGATCCCCGCGCCCATGGCCTGCCAAGTCTTCCACCCCTCCGGGGTAGGAAAACTGGTACCAGACTTGTCTGCGACGATAGCAGCACTCGATACATCGGTAGGCCACGGCGAGTCATTATAAAGGCCAGATACGCATTAAATCGCCTCCAAACGATGCTTATTGAAGTCGAATGTTTGGCGCATCCATCGGTGATTGATCAACGCCGAGAGCTTTTTATCCTTTATAACAGTCGAAACCATATGCAATAAAACAGAAAGTGTATTTCGTCGCATTTCAGTAGTCGTTAACTAGAGTTTCCGTTTTGTGTCGAAGCTGTAATATTCTAGAATGGTAGACCTAGCAGTGCTTTCAGTATTTTCAGAACCAAAAATCTCGCACGAAAACCACTCAAATTTTGTGCTTCAGTTTCAAATATTCTAGAACATTACTGTGTCAGACCCAATATACTGAGTGTTCTATATAACGTAATAGTACCCCGACACCAGAATGACTCTTTCGGAGAAGGCTTCATTTTTCTCTTGGATATCCGTGATCTCCAGTTCAGTGCTGTCGACTACTGTCAGCAGATCCTGTCATTGACGAATAACAGACCACTGACGGATACATGAGCTGATGCGACTTGCATTTACTATAGACGTTAAATCCATGTTCAGTTTCAGCGAATCTGCAGATGGAAGACGCCGACGCATTCAAATAGGAACGACCCTACGCGCTTTAATTTGTATTTATATGAAAACGTGTCAGATTCTGAAAAGCGCTACATGGACGTAACCTCGGTTTTCTCCTTCGAGAACGGTTTTTTTAAATCCATTGCAAAATTCCTCCTTTTCTATCTTCCCTGATCCATCGGTATCCAACTGAGCGAATATAAACTCTATATCCTGAACAAGTGCAGTTGTATATTTCTAAACATATGGCATACGTGACGTGAAAACCAATATGAAAATAAACCTTTTGATCAAGTTGAGGGCAGGCGTGCTGAAGATCTTGCTCAGTAAGATAACCTTTGCCTTCGGCATCGCACAAATTGAACAGTCGTTCAACTTCATTCGCCATTGTTTAGAAGTTCTCAGACTAGTTTTCTCTGTGCTATAAGAAACTGTAATCGACACCAGAATATGATCAGAACGAGAAGGAATGCTATTAATCGATGGAAAAACTATAAAATATTATGTTTCATTCATGAGAGCCGTGATAAACCTCTTCTGAGTGGCACCACTCATCCTAAAGCGACAAATTATGTCGCACTAACTATTACAAGATTTTGATGCGAATTTTTCTCTTACTCAGGCACCTACGATAAAAATGACATAAAATGACGGCATGTGGTTCGGATGAAAGGTCATGATGATAAATTTCTCTCTTGTGGCAACTTAGACTTGGAGTATCAGTGAGAGCCATGGAAAATCCGGGTGCTTAACAGCGTTATTCTCTAGACAACAAAACTGTTCGCCTTGGCACATTACTTTTTATATTTGAGTGGAATGAATTCAACGAAATTCGGTAATGTTGAATGTGAACTAAAGATCGAAACTTTTGAATAACACTGAAATGGCTTTGATGAAGTGCACCATCAGTCGTTTACACGCTATCGTTCTAAGCATACTATGTATGCTTAGGGAAAATTATGATAATTGCCTTTAAAGTGCTATTGAAAGATAACTTTTTTAGACACGTTCACCAATACGGTCATGAAGATAATACTTTGTTTGGTGAAGAAAACTAGATACCATGACGTTTCAGTTGTCTGTCGAATCACAGTAACTGTTGATTGGAAACATGATCATTTACTGGTTATAGAAATTTTCAATGGGTCTACTTTGGTGATGGACAACGCTTGAGATAAGAGCTGCACCTGACTGTCATGAATACATATCAAGAATTGAAAAGAAGTCTCAAACACAAGTGGATTTACAGCTAAGCTGATGATTCACAGAATGAAAGTCGAGTGATTAAACCAGAATCAGAAGTAAAGACCTTTTCAAGAGATGTTCACTTAAGGGTGCGAGATGGTCCTTCTAGCTATATCAGGTGTTACTTAGCCATTACTAGACTGAAGGGCTTAGCACATACACAGATTATTCTAATGGCATATATGTGAAGCGAAAAAGTATAATAAAAATGGACGAGAATGGCAAACGAGCATTCAGAGATGAAAGGCACAATCAACAATTTGCCGATTTCGAAATAGTTGTGTGATCAGACCGTTGGCCAAACAATGCGGAACAAAAGCGGTCGACGGCCGTTTATCCCGTTTAGTTGGGGATACGACGAGGGATTGGTGGAGGAACGGCCGAACACGCATACTGGCAGCAGGATGCATGGTAGAAGCCGACGTGCTGCACGCGTACGCGGCACAGTCACGCCTCCTACGCATCCTTCGCCAGACAGGACGTCGTACTTCCAGGACACATATTGTGCATGCGAATTGGTCGATTGCCATGCCGATGGAGAATCGATTTCCTCTTCCAGTTGTGCTAACACTTCCTTCGTATTTAACAACTCCAATTTATTGTTCTTTATTTGAATTCTTTCAGAGAATGACAACACCATCATCTCTTCATTGTGATCCAGTGTAACCTCTCACTCACTGGAAAACATTTAATGTGAGAAATGCTTTATTCCAAATTTCGTTTTACAGGAAGGGTCGTTTTTATCGCGAAAGCACCAACGATGTTAGCTGGTCACACCTTAATAAGTTTATCTGGAGAAACAGGAGGTTCTACTAAATTAAGACATTTCCTGACCGATGCAACTCATCAAGGCTGTCAGGAATCACAGCAGGCACGGGTATCGTTTGAAAATTTTTGTCGAGCGAAGAATCCACATGATTGCCATAGACTAGAAAGTGACGAGCAGAGATCTGCAAGAATGCAGCATATCTTCTGAATACGTTTTTTATCTGTAGATGGCTAATGATGTGGAAAAGCTCCATACCTGGCCACATAACTTAGCTCGCTGGTGATTGGGTGTTCTCAGTCCATGAGGCATTTAGTCCATAATGGGTCTTTTTTATTGTTTTGAATAACCCTACACTCTCTAAACCAGTAAACTAAATTAGTGACCTTCATAGGGAAACCGTTAAACCCCACAAATTTTGAATATTGTGACGGTTAGTGCTTCCATGGTTCTTTACAATCATTTATCAGAAACCTTTGTCAAAAGACGACTCAACTGACCACCTCTTATCATAAATAAAGATGAAAGAAAAGCGACAAAACAGAAAAACCACGACGCCTAAATTTCAATCGAATGAGAAACAAAAGAGCTTTTTCACCTACTAACCGCTTGCTTGAGTCTTCCACTGACTATATCACAAGGAGACCAAACTCACAAAGCTCGTATAGAAGGGTAATCTAATTTTCTCAAACTATAATATTAGCTTTTTTATAATATTGTGTGACATCATACGTGATAAAAAGGTATTCCTCTTTGCGGCTCATTTTTTTCTTAGAATTTTTAGATTTTTACACGATTATGGTGAATTCTATTTAAAATTTTCCCTGTTATCTACTTTTATCCTGTGCGTGTTTTGTGGAGCATGTTGCCCAAGTTTAAGTTTCCTAACTAGGTGCTCTCGTATACGGACCCACAGTGGTCCACCAGTTTCGCCAATCCATTCGCCCCGCACGCTCTACAGTAAATCAGGTTCATCGCTCCAGAACTCATGCAATTGCAGTCCCTAGCTTTACGGTTATATCATGCATTTTGCGTTGTGCATAGACGGTAGCACAAGCGGTTACGAACTAGCTGGAATCTAGGAGTGCCTGGTATTTTAACCATTGCTACCGGATTCTTTAATCCCTTATTCACTTCCTCAAAATAGAGCAATCAAAATTTACTCAGTAGCTTGCTCTGATATATCGAACTCCATTTCTTAAAAAGAACACGACTGGGTTTAATACATCCAATAACATTTACATTTACATTCGCATTTACATTGTAATGTTATTGCCATAGAATGTATGTCGAATTCTACAAATCATTCACTTTCTAGGAGATCCGAACACATGAGAGGAAATACTAGATTGTTTCTATGAAAATCCTATTCTTCCAAAGAAGAACTTAAACTGAAACATTTCTGCGGCTTCTTCGACAACGAGGAGATCGACAGTTCTGCAGCTATCCATCAGGCAAATGATCATGAACCTGCCGAAAGGCAGAAGCGCTGAAAAATATCTTTCAGAGCTCTGACCATATTAATAGCAACCATATCTCGACACAGGATTTGTCATGCTCTGTAAAAAATTTTAAGATGTTTATAGCATAATTTTGCCACTATTTCACTTGAGGTGTCGTTACATTTTGGAATGCAGGATGCCCAAGCACTAGAGAACTAAGGAAGCGATTCTGGTGAACAGCAGATGATGCGCCCACGACATATTGGCTATCACCCCGATTTTCGTAGCTTACGAGCTTTTTGTTGATACCATATTAAGCCAGAGAAGTCTGGTACCAAGCTATGGGTAAGAGGGGCGCACCTTGGTCTTGGTAGCAGACTTATCTCAGAGAATAGCTGCACTGGCTCGATATATCGGCAGGACCCGTGAGTCACTGTAAAGGCCAAACGTGCATTCAGTCACCTCTAAACGATGCTTAATGAAGTTAAATGAATGGTGCATCCCTCAGGGATTGATCAACTCCGAGAGCTCTTTAGCTTTTATTACATTGAGCCAATTTACCAATTTAGGGAAACACCTGATGAAAAGCACCCACTGAAACTTTTTAGGAAATGAAAAGCCTTTAGATATAATTCCAACTTTCTATTTACTGCGTACTGTTTTTAATGCAGGGTGTGTTGCGAAATATAACTTCAATGATGCTGAGATATTTGCAAAACTGCGAACCGCGGGTGCCTGCGGTGGGGTCCGAACACGTTACTACCCTTTCTGGGGCTAACGGGTTCACAATCACACCATGCTGGTCTTTCGTTGCGCTTGTCTCGCAGCTAGTTCTATCGATCACTGCCATCAGCCCCGGTAAGGGTAATAGCGCGTTCGTTCCCAACCGCAGACACCTGCGGACCTTCAAATATAGTTTACCACATAATGAAAAATTTTATGTCGGGTGGATTACTGAAGTGTTAGATATTAAGAACCTTTCCATCCAAGAACATCGAGATTTTTTAAGCTTTACAGCACCTTCAATGCTTTATTTCACTCCCGGCAACCTCGATTCCTTTATTTCGCTCCTGTCCTTTTCGTTATTGACACATTATGGCAAGTCCGTCGAAATGATATAAAATCTTTAAAGCATTTCAGTGCAATCTCGCAGTAGTATGAAGGAGTTCAAATATCAGCGCTTGAAAATAGGGGTCATTCACCGGCAAGTTTTTTACCTTCGTGTGGATGATGACATGCTAGCATGAAAGTTCGACTTTCATTAAACCTCTTTAACTTCGGTATGGATAACGAATGCTTCGGTTTGATTGTGTGCTTACACCATGTTTGTGCAAAACTACCCATTCGTGTAGCTCTCCGCTCTAGTCGATTCGTTTCGATGCAGCGGCAAAGAAGAAAAATTAGGTAAGAAGGAACAACTGCTATGGACACCTCATTCGAATCATTGTGGTTCTCATAAAGGACAAGAGGCCGAACCTCATGCAAGCTCATTGGTAATAACAAACATCGACTATTCATAACGCCATATTCGCTTCATCATAATCAAATTGATCTTATGACAAAAGGAGCGAATTATGCTTATTATAGATGTAACTGATGTAGAAATATAGAAAAATTATAAGGTCTCAACGAAACTGATGTGCTCGAAGAGTAAATTCGCGAAATGGACACTTCTTTCGCAACAATAGCAACCAGGTCTGAGAACACAACATAGCTCACGGTATAAAATCAGAAGGACTATTTATTCTTTAAAAAAGTACTCTCTACAATTGTTTTAAATCAAAATGACACAGCATGTGAAAACAGGCTATGTATTGGCTTTGGCTTAAACAGGGGCGGTTATAGCGGAGTAGCTTGTGGTGCTGTTGATCAGGAAGTAAAAGTGGTAGTTTGATCCCCGCCCCAACGCTTTCCTCCAGTCCACTTGGGAACGCC